TCCTCGTCCTGCAAGGAAGGTTCCGAACAATCCCATATCCTTGGGTACTTAAACATAGCTATGCACTTTGTGTGAATGGATACGATTTACGATTCCATGAGTGATCCAGTGGCCGTAGCTATGTTGAATGACTAACAGGAAGTATTCAACATAGATCTTGTACGTTCATCATGTCTCATCAAAAGAAGCATGAAGTTGATCCTTTACCGTATCTTTCCAAATATTCTGTTGGCAATGTTTAGAGTCCTTGTCCATCTTGTCCCAAGCTTGTTGCAGTCGATTCAAGTCACCCATGCTCAGCATTCCCCTGAGTCAGCAGAAGGCTGACATGCTACAGTATGTGAAAAGACTTGAACATAGCTATTTGGTGCATACAACCTCTACAAGAACTACAATATTCAATATTCACTACCACATATATGTCTCATAGTGGCCAAAAAGTAGGCAAGAAACTCGAATGTGTCTGACAGTGGTCGGTTCTTGGTCACGCGTTCTTTGCGCTCTGCCTCCAACCTGAGCAACTGCGCAGCTGGAACATGCCTGGGGACAGGTCATGATGTAGAATGAGTAGCTATGTTTACGTGCCTGTGGATATGTCATTGAACCCAAAATTATTGGGACACAGAATTCCATATTTCTTTTAAACTAAAATCACCAAGGGCCAACTTTTGAACTTTTTTGGTTGTGGGTCCGCGCGCTATTCCGATAGGTCTTGGTTGGGTAAGTAAATACCAACCCCAATAGCTATGTTTTTTGGAAATTACACAAAGCATCAAGTTGACAACAAAGGACGTTGCTTCATCCTTGCAGAAAAACAGGTCATTGATGGTTGTTTGCCTTTTGTTGACCACCTCCCGCATTTTCATATACACATTGTTCGGCTCATCGAGAAATCTCCCAGCGCTTTTTCTCAGAGCAATTATCCTCAGTGTGACCATTAAAAATGATTTGCAAAAAGAACTGTTGGGGTTCCATAGCTATGTTAGTGGGTATCAAGGGTATGTATTTCCCAGTGTTTACCAGAGAATAGTATATTGAACCGCCACAGTGAAAAGATCTTACCGTAAAGTGTTGGTCAACTGCTATTGATCGCCAAATCTCCAACCACGGTAACGTTTCTGGGCACCATAGCCAGAATCTTCTGTCGCTGCATGTATGAGCTGAATATGGAAAGCATCTTGTAGTTCTCGACATTGAAGCTCTTGAATTGTGCCTCCACACACGTTCTCCAGCACCAAAACGCGGGTGCCAGCGAACGCATGCCACCTAAATGGCCAGTGCTGTTTGGATAAAAAGATCTACTGTACCAGTACTATCATCTGGCTATTAACGCAGGTATGGAAATTCACAATGTTTAATAAGTAAATGTTAGTAAATAATCATCCATCTTGCGTATGCACAAAAAATATACATATACATGGGTCAGGTGCCATAGCTATGTTAAAAGACAAATTAAATGAGCAGCAATTATACTGCTGCAAATGAATGTCAACACATCAATACTCTATTGTTTGTAGAGCTCAGCAACTCTCGAAAACAAATCGCTCAAGTAAATAGGAAGATATAATGGACAGGGTCTGGCCTGAAATGCACCAGACCGGCTCTTCGACCCGGACCCAAATCTCGCTTCTGCGCGCCCATGTTGCTGTCATCTTTGCAACTCAAGGCACTCATATCCTTACCCAGAAGCAGGGTCGGGTTTCAAAGGACTGTTGGTACCCCTTCACCTAGCCATCACACAGTGCTTTTTTAATATGCTCGATATATTTAGGGGAGGAGGGGTTTCGGTTTTTGTATGTTGGCAGAATCCAAAATTCAATTGAAACAAGAAACCAAATCCATATTCTTCGGGAGGATGCAGCCAGTTTGTAGCTCGTTGCTGCCTGACTGGTGACGAAGACACAAGGCACGTGCCTGGAATTTCGCGCTAGACAAAACTTTCCGGATCGCATCCACACCTGTGCGCAATGAATGCCACCGTGTCAGTAAACATGAATAGTTTTGAAACATTGACAGTATGTGGAAAAAGCTCATTAACATAGACCTTATACTGCTGTTGTGGGTAGAAAACAAACCAACTCCAGTAAGCAAACCCATCAACAAAAAAAATGCCTATTGGGAACTTGCAGGCTTTGATAACCCGAAACTGGTCTTTAACATAGCTATGCTACTGGTTACATCGACAGCTGTTCCTTCATTTGAAAACAAAACAAACAGGAAATGGATTCTGTGCTTTGCATTGTGCGGTATGTTGTAAGACAAAACCTTTTAACATAACATTCCTCAAGTGGTTTGAAGCTATACGGCAAAAAAAAAACATAGTGATCTTCCATGCTTGTGCAAAAATATTGAAGAGGTAATATTGTTGAAACAACAAATTTTCCTCTTAAAGTAGTTTGAACCGGGGGCCTTGAGACTCCTCCAACTCCTTCCTGCTCTTGGCATCAACTTGATTCAGCACATCACTGAATACGCAAGTGTTCTCAAAGAAGCTGTCGTTCAGCAACCCTTGCTGCACCGCTCTGTCGCTGTCACACACGCTCACCTTAGCTGCAAGAGAGGGAAATATATTCTGGTAATTTGATTTTGTCATCTTCTGTACATACAGTACAATCTCTATACATAAACCAGTGGTCCATGGCTATGTTAAGGCTGCGTAGTGATGGCAACTTTCATGCATGCCTATTGGTTTGAAAAGAAGACCATGTAACATACTTACAATTCTTACAAAGGATGGGGTACTTCCCAGGAACATGATCTACCTCTAACACTGGTGTGTGACCTACAGTAATTTGTTTACTATTTTTCTCATGGGTTGCTAAGAAAGACTTTGTAGGATGGCTCACACCCAATCATGCTGCATTACAGTCACCTGGTGGAACCTGACCGTTGATCCCATCTTCTGGATGATGTTTGCGGCCCGTCCGCAAGCGTCCAGCCTGAGTTTGTGTTGCGACATGCCAAGAGTAAAGAGAAACTACTTAATTACCCTCTGGTTACTTAACATAGCCATGGAAAATGGCCCATTTATAGATGGTTTACCTATTAAAAATTATGATTTTCCATGGCTATGTTAAATAACCAGAAGGTATATGTTTTTGTGGTTTAACATAGCTACTGCAAGCCACTCCATATTCGAAAATAGTTGCTATTGCATTCTCAAACAAAGTAACCCTGTGAAACCCGAACTGCAATGCAGAACTCTATCACAGAGAAGAAGAGGATTCCCGCTCAAGGAGTGAGCATGTTGCCTTGCAACATCGAGGGCCTTGGAGGCCCATGAAGCAGCCTCAACTAGAGACTGCTGGACAGACTCGTCGCAAGTCATTGGTTTTCTGTTCGCTGGCCAACCACATATGTAGGGCTGACCAGTCTCAAGTCTTTTGATCCCGCCCCTCCGGTCCTCCGCCCCGCTCTCATCCTGAGCTAGTCCAGGAAGGGGCGCTGAACTTCTATCACTATTTAACGTAGACGTCGGAATTGAGCAAATTAAGACCCCACGGCTACGTTTGTTATAAATTCAACGGCCAACGGCTAAGGTTTTTTGAACGTCCGAACGCTAAATTTTCACTGTTTCTCCCAACGGCTATGTTAAAGAGCTTTTTCAGTTCTGAAGCTAAAAGTGAACGTTCCAAAAAAAAAATCATGTCTGTTTTCTCGTGAACTTTAACAAGGCAATGCCTAGCTGTCCATAGCTATGTTTAGTATGATGCCTGGGTTAAACTCTTGGGACATGAACTGCACTGTTTCCTATATATTTTCTTCCAAACTGACATGCATAAGGAGCTGCAGACAAGGCTCTTTGAAGCGTTCAGGAGGTGACTTTCCATTCACCCGCCGCTCAGGGACTGAGAGCATTGGCTTTTTGGTCTCTCGTGGGCTGTCTAGGTTTGGATCACCACACAGCTGCAAAGGATCGGGCAAGATCCAAAACGATTGCCACTAGAAAATCCCACTTAATTAAACATCATAGCTATTGGTTGAACCATTTTATAGCATCGTTGCAAAGTGAATTAAACATAGCTATACATATAAAACATTCCCGCTTAATTAACATAGCCGTTGGTTGAACAATTTTCACAACATCGTGCAAAGTGCAATGAACATCGTGCAAAAAACACTCTTTAACGTAGCCGTTGGGAGAAACAGTGAAAATTTAGCGTTCGGACGTTCAAAAAACCTTAGCCGTTGGCCGTTGAATTTATAATAAACGTAGCCGTCGGATCAAAATTTGCTCAATTCCGACGTCTACGTTAAATAGTGGGAGTGTAATTATATTTAAAGAGGTGAGTTTTTAGCTGTGTAAAATTACCAGATTGTACCCTGACGATTGAGTTCATGGGATATCCACTTTATAGTGACTGAGTGTTACAAATTGGCACTTCATGTTCAAAAATTCCCACCCGAACCAGTGTCCTTTTCAACCCGGCTATCTAGGTTTGGTTAGTGTTATGTCGATGCCGCAGTTGTGATAACAGCTCTTTGATACCTGAGAATTAAAGCGGCCTGCCTTGCGATAAATTGAAATAAATTGCACAGAATCAAATCCATGAAAGGAATATTTACTTTTATAGGCCTTATCCCCCCAAAAAAACCGTGGCATTGGGACATATGTAGGAAATGGGCATTTAAATAGGACTATCATCCATAAATGATTATGATTGGGCGAACTTTGCGTTGCCATGTTTGAGCACCAGAGGAAGTTCGGCATGCATCGGCATGCCATGCATTGCAAATTGCCATGGCTCCAAGGTTGGCTTTGCGCCCGACTTGACCATGGTCACACTTTCCAGAGTGTGAAAATCAAAGATCCCCAACAAAATTGTTTGGTGAACATTTTGAGGCAATCCAGGCCATTCATGTTTCAGTTTTTCACCTGGGTTCCACTTCTTCTACTTCATACTGAAGCTCCTCTTCCAACAAGCAAGTATGGATAGAAGGACTCATCCTGCCCCTTTCGATTACCATCAAACCAGCCAAGCTGCACAACCCTGCGATATCTTGCGATCCATTGTCGCCATGGCCCCAAAGCAGGGCAGTGGCTCTAAGGAGTTCTGTAAGAAGTTTCTGTGCCCTGGCTCTCCAGGAGGGTTACTGTAGGATACTACAAATTTAATGCACCCCAGCAGCAATGAACTGCGGTAGAGGATGCGTGCCTTAAGAGACATGGTTTGCCGCAGGTGGGATAGGCCTGGGCCTTTTCTTTGGAGGTTTTTGGGTGCCAAGCGGGACAATGGGATCAGAGCATGAGTGGACTAGAGTGCCTGTTTTATGACCATTGATGATGCTTACCTTCCTGCTAACGGTCTGGGAATCATCAATGGATTCAAAGGAAAAAGTCAGTTGGATATTGATAGTTCGTTATTTTCCATATTTTTTCCATCGTCATTGGGAGGATAAAGGTAGTCTCCATGGTTTGATTTGCGGCGATCTCAGGCCGCACATTTTTCGATGTTATGGGAATTCACAATTAGTTTCAGTAATCTGGTAAACCCAATGCCATGAACCATCCACAATAGTGCGATTAATGGGATGGTTTATTACTGGGATTTATCTAAATTTATGTACATCATCAGTTTTATCATCTACAAATGGGTCACAGTTTCCGTTGCAAACTGTGAAATATCGTGATGGTAAGGTAAATTCCCAATGTTTCATGAGATTCCCATTATTTATATCATGTCCCCATGAAGTCTCCATATTGTTGCCTAAATATTATCCGGATTATATCCCCAATATATCCCAAAGCTACTGATCTTTGTCACGTTGGACCGTTGGACCTTCCAACGTTCCCATGGGAGATTCGGTCCCTGCGCGACGAGTCCGCGCGAAAACCAAGGTGCTCGGCCAGCGTCACAGCATGTGCTTTGATGCTCTTGAGGACGGACCATGGACGGACGGACCTATCGAAAAGACCTATCGATTGGATGGGCTCCAGTGGATAAACAAAATGAATATTTGGTTGGTGGTTTGGAACAGCCATAATGGTGGTTAATAGTGGTTAATAATGGTTAGTGAGATATACTGGTCGGTGGTTTGGAACATGGCTTTTATGACTTTCCATATATTGGGAATTTCATATTTTTCAGAGGGATTGGGACCACCAACCAGATATTATTGGATTGTCCTGTATCAACATACATTGATATGTATCTAGATTGTTCGGATTGAAATTAGTCTAGAACTGCATGGAATTGGAATGAATTGGATGAATCTAGTCTAGTTCAGTTCCACATTGGATGTTAGTACTACAGGTATGAGAATTTTCAGTTCTTGATCAATGCCTTCCCCTTTTTTCACTTTAAAGTCTCGTGGAATGAACATCTTGGGATGATCGTGATCGCTCCAGTTTTTGTCGATGACTGCGACGTATCCACCTGTTTTGAACTGCGGACCTACTGTTTGTTAGATTATTAGACATAAAAAAACACATGTTCCAAATGCCATGTGGTTGATTTTCGGGGTGGGGTCGCTTGTCACCATGGCGTTTTTTGTTGTTGCGTGGTTTTATTTTTTGCTGTTGCTGCTGCTTCTTCTTCCCGACAGATTTGACGCCGCAAAACTCTGACAGGACCTTTCGGATGTCGAATCCTTTCGACGGAGTGGAATTCATTCAGCATCTTGATGCAACCTGTTTTCAGGCTGGTTACATTGTGGATACCCTCTGGCAATTGAACATTACGGAAAATCAGCTTCTTGAATGTATAAATCATGAAACTATGTAATTAAACGGGCCATCAAACAACCATAGCTCCATAACAATTTACAAGAGGGTTGGGGTCGACTTACTGACGTGACTTCACTGAAACTGGGCCCTTGCCACTGAAGTCGCTGGGTTGAGACATGTTGAGACCATCCTATATTGGGGATTCACAGTCAGAAACCATCCCCAACAACAATATGATATATACATAATACACACACACACATATATATATATATACACATTATTCAGGTTGCATATAAATAGATATCTAATCGTGTTTATTTTGTATATATATACCCTGGGAGTCCTCGACCTTTAAAACAAAGGGGGTTCGGAGTCGACCTTTGTTTGCCGTGAACCCCCCTTTGTTTGCCAGTTTGAAGCCTAGCTCTTGGTAAAAACACCATTTACATACTACTGCGTGGAAGTATATATGGAACAGACCGTTTTGACACAAAGTCTGTAATAAGATAAGTAGGATAGAATCATCAGATTATCAACCATTCAGCCATATCATATGTGGTAAATTACCATCCACAATATGATTCCATTATATGATTGGGGAGCTGCCCCTTCCAAGACAATTTAAAAATAGAAACTAATACAGGCACAACTCAAAGCTAACACCAATACTTTTTGATTCGACGATAGAGATCTTGGATTCGAGGCATGGACCAGGAAGAGATCTTGGCTCAACACCTGCAACTTTATTTATTATATTGAGCATGGCCCATTTGCACGATATGTGGTTCTGCTCATAGATATGTAGCAGCTATTTGTTGTTTGGTTTTTGATGTGTAATGTCCAGCTCAAGTAATTGCACTTCCCCTTGTAAGGGGCCTGAGTCTTAGGTTTGCTAGAAATTATAGACGGTGTCGAAAATATTCACCTAGATTGCTTATTGAGTGCCAACCAGCCTCACCTGCTTGCTTGCGGCCGGCCAATTAATTCAGCCAGTTGTGAGAAGATTGAGAACTCATTCTTACGGTTGGCATATGCGCTAGGCAATGGCTTCCTGGAAACTGGCAACCGATTTTCTTGTCAGCAAGGGTCTATGATGTTGTGATTTACGTTCGTCAAATACACAACTGTGTATATAGTATAGTTGTATATATATGAGTGTTTCTTGGGCAATCCGAAATTAAAAAAAGAAAACAATGTATTGCTTAGAGACTCCTCAGGAATATCATTTGTATGATTCAGTATAATTGACCATCACATCATACATTGGCCATGTGTAAAATGTGGTTTCTCGGTTTCTCTTTTTACGCAAGGGATTCTACGATAAGTCTAACTAAATTCGCTTGTTTTTCATGCCCCCACCTTTAACCCTGATGATGTCCAAACAAAAAAATACGGTCTTTGTCCAAGGCCTAGTAGATCCATTCACTAGTTCGCAGCTACAAAAGTGAATGTGGAGGTGTGGCAGATGCACGGTAAATCTGGTAAATACCATATTCGATTATGAAAGTCTTGGCAAAGGATTTGCTGTAGCGCGTTGTATGGTGTTGTTCCTTACGCAGTTGGGGATATTGAGCCGAGTGTGGGTCATGGCAGCGCATGCAATAACACATCCCCATTAAATTGATGATGTCGTATTGTCCTGTATCAGTCAACCATTTTATCACGGGGTTTCAATGGAACTAATATTAACCTTCAAATAGTAAACCCCCCCACCCCCCCACCCCAACAATCAAAACCCACTGAAATAAACGGTGAAAGATTATTTAGGAGGATTACGATTGTTTTAAAAGGACGAATAAGAAAACCAATTAGCAAGAAATCAAGATTCTAATTGATTATTGCTAAATAAATTGCCTAATTGTGAAGGAATTATATTACCAGAATTCATCCAACATTTGGATCATGAGTTCAGTATTGCTGAATGAATTACCTAACTGTTAAGGATAATTAAAACCAGAATTTATCCAACATCTGGATCATGAGTTTACTATTGCCTATTGCTAAATGAATTGCCTAATTGTTACGGAAAAATAAAACCAGAATTCATCCAACATCTGGATCATGAGTTTAGTATTGTTAAATGAATTGCCTAATTGTTAAGGATAATTAAAGCCAGAATTTATCCAACATCTGGATCATGAGTTTAGTATTGTTAAATGAATTACCTAATTGTTAAGGATAATTAAAACCAGAATTTATCCAACATCTGGATCATGAGTTTGCTATTGCTAAATGAATTGCCTAATTGTTAAGGAAAAATAAAACTAGAATTTATCCAACATCTGGATCATGAGTTTAGTATTGTTAAATGAATTGCCTAATTGTTGAGGATAATTAAAACCAGAATTCATCCAACATCTGGATCATGAGTTGACTACTGCTAAATGAATTGCCTAATTGTTAAGGACAATTAAAATAAATTCAGAGACCATCAGATACAAATACTTTATTTAGGGGGGTTAAAACAAATAATCTATTGAGATGCTTGGAGGCTTCAAGGCTACCCTTTGTGAGATCGATTTTTTGATTTTTTGAAAGGGTTTTAATAAAGGGATTGGTCAATTGAGTTGTGAGAACTTTTTCAGATTCCATTGGTTCTGGATCGTGAGTTTAGTATTGCTAAATGAATTGCCTAATTGTTAAGGATAATTAAAACAAATTCAGAGACCATCAGATGGAGATACTTTATTTAGGGGGGTTAAAACAAACAATCTATTGAGATGCTTGGAGGCTTCAAGGCTACCCCCTTTGTGAGATTGATTTTTTAATTTTTTTGATATGGTTTTAATAAAGGGATTGGTCAATTGAGTTGTGAGAACTTTTTCAGATTCCATTGGTTCTGGATCGTAAGTTTAATATTGCTAAATGAATTGCCTAATTGTTAAAGATAATTAAAACAAATTCAGAGACCATCAGATGGAGATACTTTATTTAGGGGGGTTAAAACAAACAATCTATTGAGATGCTTGGAGGCTTCAATGCTACCCCCTTTGTGAGATTGATTTTTTTTTTTGATAGGGTTTTAATAAGGGGATTGATCAATTGAGTTGTGGGAACTTTTTCAAGATTCCATTGCTTCTTGTCTCAGTCTCCTTTTCAGGATAGGGTTGAGAATATTTTTTCACTAAATTTGGTTATCCCCAAAATTTTGGCGTATTTTATTTAGGGGGGGTTATTATTAATTTCCGGCAAGTTGGCGTACTTTATTTAGGGTTTTTTTTTGCATGGAGGTTGACATTAAACCACAGTGTACCTGCTTTTGGACGGTTCTTTCAGTGAAGGGTCACACGCGAAAATTCCAGAGCTTGTAATGCCATGTGTTCAGAATGGCCTTTGCTAATCACTGGCTCTTAAATGGTGCTGCAAAAGTGTTCAGATTGGCTGGTTGGAATCCAGGCCCGGACCAGCGTGAAACAGCGTGAAACTAGCGTGAAACTCGCGTGAACCCCCTTTAAAAACCGTGAACGCCCTTTAAAAACCGTGAACGCCCTTTAAAAACCGTGAACCCCGGAACCCCTATTTTCCACTTTTTTGAAAAGATGGGTTTGGAATAAATAGTATGGTATTCTACATTTTGGTTGGCCCAGTCTCTTTTGTGTTTTTTGGGTGCGACAATCTGGTGGATGTGTGAATGCACGGTGTTTGTTGTATGTGCAACATTGTCTTGGTTAATAAAAGGTTTGAGATTATTTTGTTGGCTTGCGTAGTGTGATCATAGCTGACAATACTCTGGTGGAGCGCGCTTTGGAAGCAGCTGAACCGTGCTTAGAAGCCTCCTAGAGCTGGATGCAGCGTGCACTGTTGTGGAGCGACTGTTAAACATAGCACTGTCTCCGTGCATGTTCCTGTTGTACACTGCTATGTTCCTTAATGTTGGGTCGTGATTTATAACCCCTTCCCCCCTCCCCCCCTAAACAAATGATGGGTCGTGATTAATAAACTCTTTGCTTAAAAGGCTTGCCTGAGGGAATGGGTGATCTCAACAATTGAAAATTAATGATCTCTCTTCTCTACGCTTCTCTTCTCTTCCCTACTCTTCTTTGATCTCTCTAAGTAAAAGGAAAAGATAAAGAACTCAAAGGGTAAAGGAAAGGAAGAAGCAGCCAGGACCACCCCAAAAAAGTTTTTTGCATTAATCAACACCCTTTTGACAAACCTATTATTCAACATCCTGGCTCTTTCTGGGCTGGGCTACCCTCTTGAAAAATTGTCAAACCTCAATACTTTAAAAGGAGTTTAATAAAGGGATTAGCCATTTGAGAAAGCTCTCAGTTTAGCAAATGACCAATAGAAAGTAAAAGGAAAAGATAAAGAACTCAAAGGGAAAAGAAAAGGAAGAAGCAGCCAGGATCACCCCAAAAAGTTTTTTGCATTAACCAAAACCCTTTTGACAAACCTACTATTCAACATCCTGGCTCTTCCTGGGCTACCCTCTTGGAAAATTGTCAAACCTCACTAGTTTAAAAGGAGTTTAATAAAGGGATCAGCCATTTGAGAAAGCTCTCAGGTTAGCAAACGGCCAATAAAAAGTAAAAGGAAAAGATAAAGAATTCAAAGGGTAAAGAAAAGGAAGACGCAGCCAGGACCACCCCCAAAAAGTTTTTTGCATTAATCAACACCCTTTTAACAAACCTATTATTCAACATCCTGGCTCTTCCAGGGCTACCCTCTTGGAAAATTGTCAAACCTCGATACTTTAAAAGGAGTTTAATAAAGGGATTAGCCATTTGAGAAAGCTCTCAGTTTACCAAATGACCAATAGAAAGTAAAAGGAACAGATAAAGAACTCAAAGGGAAAAGAAAAGGAAGAAGCAGCCAGGACCACCCCCAAAAAGTTTTTTGCATTAATCAACGCCCTTTTGACAAACCTATTATTCAACATCCTGGCTCTTCCAGGGCTACCCTCTTGGAAAATTGTCAAACCTCAATATCTTAAAAGGAGTTTAATAAAGGGATCAACCATTTGAGAAAGCTCTCAGTATAGCAAATGGCCAATGAAAAGTAAAAGGAAAAGATAAAGAACTCAAAGGGAAAAGAAAAGGAAGAAGCAGACAAGACCACCCCCAAAAAGTTTTGTGCATTAATCAACACCCTTTTGACAAACCTATTATTCAACATCCTGGCTCTTCCTGGGCTACCCTCTTGGAAAATTGTCAAACCTCAATATTTTAAAAGGAGTTTAATAAAGGGACCAGCCATTTCAGGAAGCTCTCAGTTTAGTAAATGGCCAATAGAAAGTAAAAGGAAAAGATAAAGAACTCAAAGGGACAAGGAAAAGATAAAGAACGCAAAGGACAAGAGAAAATCAAAAAAAAATAACTCCCCCCCAAAAACTTGTCTTTAATCATGACCCTTTTCAACCCAGGGGGGTCTGGAATAATTTTGGAAAACTTTTCTTAAATCATCACCCTTTGATAAATCAACACCCAACATTATCTAATTAGTTAAATGACAGAACACATTTGCAAATATTTTGGAATTTCAATAGGGTTCTTAGCCAACTAATCAACATAACATATCTACAATCGACACACCGGCTATGTATCTCTTGTGGTTCGTCGAACTACTGCACGCCCTGTACCCACTGTACTCTATCATTGTTACATAGTCAGCTATGGTACGATTTCGCACCGAGTTAGTGAACCATACCGTTCTGAGTGCTAGTAACTCGCCCACGCTTCTTTACTGTTCTTAGACTGCCTATGCCATTTGCATCAACTACTGTACAATGGTGGGAATTGACAATTTGCTGCAAGTTAAAACAATCTGGAAGGATTGTAATACCATCATAGTGTGGGAAATCAATATGCTTTATATATATAAATATGAGTTGATAGAATTGTTTTTTTAATATCAGATATTAGCTAGTATTTAATATTGCGTCTCATGGTTTTTGCTCGCATGATCGCATGCACACATTCTATGACATACATATATGCACACATTCAAAGATGAATCCTACATAAATATTTCGACATATAAATACATTTGTCATGTATATACGCGGGTGTGCTTACCAAGGCCCCAGCCTCACTGTCTGTGGGTCGATCTAGTCAGTATCTATTGGTGCCAAAGAGTTTACCTTTGTGCTCACCCCAGCCGTTTAATCCGCGGGATTATGCACCGTGGACGGCTAAGGGGGGCCCATCACCGATTTGTGTCATTGTTATTTACGATTAATACTTGGATGGTTGCACCATTGAGCATGCGCCGCTGGATTGTAGGAACTGTTTGATCCACTGATACATCAGAAAGTCCTTGCCATTAAATAGCTTCGAAAATTCGTAAGTTCAATTTATTACTGTACTACTGTATAATTACAGCAAGTTAACTCTGCAGCAGAACCACCATTTTTTTGTGATGGCAGCATTCTAAAATATTTCACTCTTTGGGTTTGATTTTGGGTCCTATAACTGTTTGGAAGCGCGCTTGGCGAACAACCGGGGTTGATGGTGAAAAATGAAGTCCGGTGTGCCAGGGAACCTGGCCTTGGGGGCCAGACCCCCATGGCAAACAAAGGGGGTTCTACTAAAACCCTTTGTTCTCAGTGGTGTTGGACCCCTAGGGTATATATATACACGTATTATCAACCATTTGGGGGCATTATATAAATCAACCCAAGCATTCATGTACCCACAAATAAAACGCAAAGTGAGGATGGTTTATTGTTCTGGATCCAACATTATACGTTTCAAATATTGGAAACCCATCCTTACCACCAATAGGCGATTCCGCAACACGTCAAGAATTCGCAGAGAAATCATCAAATGTGCCGAGTGTTTGGAGTCGATATTGTTGTTTCTGGGATGAGAGAGAGTGACCCCCACATATATATATATATACACTGCATATATATATATATATTGAATGCATAAATATATCTGTATATATGATTACCTATATATATACATATATATATATACATGCATATTTATATATATATATACATAAATATTTACACAAATAATTTCAGTATCATCATCAAATTATATATACAATATATGATTATAAATATTTTTTATATCATTTTATATATATATATATATTTATATCATTATTTTTGTTTTATACATATATATGCACGTGATGCATTTACCCAATTGTTGTTTACAGTAAAGAATTGGTTTACATATTATTTGACATTATGAAAATTCTTACATTGAGTACATATACAACCATATCCCTCTATATATATATGTACATAAGCATAATATGCATATATATATATATATATATATGCATACAGGCTAGGCCTACAAAAAGGCACATTTAGTTTTGCATGATTGGATATACATGACTTGGATATCTAGTACTGTATTGATATGTATGCACATATTTATATATGTTACATCTCTATACATCCGCTGTTTAGATATATGAATGTTTCAGAGGAAGTGATGGGTTACACGCCAGGCATATCACTTTACATCGTCCCATTGAATTCCTGCGTGTTTGAGGACCAGCCGCTCACTGCTACAAGACCTTCAAGCCAAGGGTGGGGACGGACAGGAGGTGAGCCATCTGTTTCCCGGGTTTGGTACTGCCAGATTACATCTCATTCTTGCTGGTCATGTGAATTCTTGTTGCTTGTCATATCAGTTTTGTTTATTCATTCCATTTCATGACCAGCCAAATTTGAAGCCCAAAAGGTTCTTTGATGACATGACCAACAGTTTCTTTCCAGCCGAAACAGTCCAACAACATTTCTGTGAATCTCAAAAACACATTAGAAAATTAGAGACACCAGCATGTTGGGTTGTGATAGGTGTGACAGTTTTTGCCTCATGGACTCTGCCAGGAGTTTCACCCCGTGAAGTTCATCACCTCACCGCCTGCGGCACCGCCTGCACCGCCTGCACCGGCCGCGAAGACCGTGGCTGTCGAGGTGATGGCGTCGGAGACGCCAGGGGAGAGCGGCTGGGCGCCATCATCCACTTGGGGGTGCGGATCCTACTTAGTCAAAGGGTCAACCAAAAAAAACAGTTAGATTCATGGAATATCTCCAATATATGGTTTAACATGGGTTATATATGGTTTATAAACATTAATAAACCACTTACTAAGTGAGTTGCACATCCACACAGTTGATTGGTGGTGAACTCGGCGAAACACTAAGAGATTCAGTTGATTCAGTTGATTGCTTGGTGACATTTCTTGCCATATTTGATGGTGACAGTGACATCTCATGTCTTAGAAGTATCTCCGAGAATCTCTCCGCATGATGCCATGTACAAGTGACACAACCACTGCCTTGATTCTCTGGAAACTCTTTTCTATCCCTGCCAGCATCATAATCTGATCAGGAAGTTTTTTTAATGAATTTTCACCAGCCCAAACTGTGATTTAACCAACCAACCAGGGGATAAACATAAACCTAGATATGACCATAAATATAACTATATAAATATAATACACACATATATATATATACACAACATATAATAAGTGTAACTATTGTACGCAAAAAATTGGAACATCATGGGAGATATCACCAATAATGTGATGTATGGGTGTGATTGGAAATGGGTACACCCGCAAATGACCATTTCAGTACGGAACATTGTGACATATTGTGACAATTATTGTGACCATCAAATGTTTGTGTGCCATATTTTCAAACAAACCCATATGATGATCATTTATTCATGATTGAGATTACCACTTGTGTGAGCAACATTCAGCAGCTGCAGCATCAACATCATCTCCATTTCATTTGGACAACACCGGCAGGCACGTGCCACTAACACACCGTCAGGCCCTGCCGGTTTGTTTGCCTCATCCCAATGTCCCAAAAAAACGGCCCAGGCTACAACGGTCATTTTCTGCACCGCTTGAGTGCGAAGAAACCGGGATGTCACCCGGCCGGATTTGCTTATGACGTTGTGGTGATCACATTTGTGGGATTCTCCACAAAAAACAGCTGGTAGATGCGAACCATTGATAATATTGAATAATATTGATATGTTTTTTTCTCGCGGCTTTGTGGTCACCAAAAAAGGGAGTTGGGTTGGTCCCGATCTCCGGATCTTTGCCTCGATGCAATGAGCAAAACTACCTTTGTCCGTTGTCCCATGCTATCCCATGTTTTTTAGGGGGAGGGCACCAATTCAACATTGTTTTTCTTTTATTCTTCTCCTCCCGGATCTGCAGGGTGACTGTGGTCCCAAGATGTTTATTGCGTTGCGTTGTGCAACCAAGATGCTGATGCTTATGTAATGATATGTGTCTTTGAACTTCAAAGATCCTCTTAGCCAGGTGGCCAACGTCGTTTTCCAATGAAACCTCTTAGAGCACGTGGTTTGAAGATGTTTTAACAGTTTCACCATTGATGGATGTTTGCTTCCCTTGCTTCCCGCTGACCGGGAATGTGGCCTCGAGTGACGGTGCAAAATCTTCTCAATGTCTGAACAACATATATTTAGATCTAACGGTCATTTGTTGTTTTGTTTTTTCCCATCATATATAACTAGGTATATATTTATATATATATATATGTTTTCAGATAGGGATATCATAGATATCTATATATATAATTATATACATAAATATATATTGGATAGTTTTACATTTTCTGACTGGTTTCCGTCCCTGCCGGTGAGACAGGTAAAGGCTGCTGCAATCTAGGAGAGAAAGTTGTGGACTGTTTGGACGTTGAGCTGCTTGTCGGAGACCAGGGAGGGAAAAAGGTCTTTGCTGAAGGGCCAATGGACCCCGATTTCATTTTAGTGATGTTATTATGTACATGATGCGCACATTTATCTAACTTCAAGTGTGCCAGAAACATGACTTTACGTGCACAATGGTGTGCAATAATTGCTGTGCAAGACAAGACATCACAACACATTCTTACGTGCCCAGAATTGCCCAGTGGTTGGCCAACAAAAATTACATGGAGAGGAGCATCCACAATATTCTCTCCGGAAAATGATGAACAAAACTGCCACAGGAAATGCGCTGAGAAAGGCCCAGAGAATGGAAAGCACCTCGACGAGCCGTAGCAACACAGTGAAGGTGATCGTTCCCTTGGTCGAACTTGCCTACCCTCTGGTAATTCAGCATATCATAATATATAATATATGATATATATATATTATGATATGTATTGTATACGATAAACACACACATATATATATATATATTAGCCATTGAACATCGACATTTTTAATAGAAAACAATAGATAGATCATCTAGACATTGGCAGTTTTCCATGGCTATGTTAAATAACCAGAGGGTATCCAAGAATTGGAAGGAACACACAGCGGGAGACCCATCTATTCACCGGGGAAATGAGCCAACAGGTTCCGTATATTATCCAGAACTCAGTGATGTACATATGTAACACGCACACACACATGTATATATATATATATGTGTGTGTGTGCGTGTGTGTGTGTATTTGGTTACGTATTTGTTGTCAAAACAGAGACCACAAAACAGATTGAGCTTTTACATTTGGTGTTACTGTTACCCATTTTGTACAAATGAAGCCTGCCAATGCGATGTTTATGCTTCGTCAGTATCCAGATAATTTATGTATGCTCTATGTGTGCTTTTTCCACCTTCAACCACTAAAATGTTCATGAATATCCAGATACTGCAAATCCACAAATGCCCTTTGGTAACATCACATGCATACATGCTAACAAAACTATGCCGTTTATATCCGTTTATGACCGACCCATACATGCCTACACATTACTAGCCTTTCAAAAAATGTTGCGGCGCCAAGATATGCCCTGGTGCTGAGCCATTGGGGCATCCCAAGCGAAGGAATGTTGCAGAGACTCGGTGGATCAAATTGGCACGTGGGCCAGTCGACACAAAATGGTGTATTGGGTGAAGCTATGCTATTCTGTGAAGTTTTGGTGTGTTGACCATTGCGGGAGTGTTTAGTTGTTTTGGGGGCTTTGTCTGAGCCTAGGGTAGGGCATCCCTACATCCAGCGGTTCATCATGTTCATGTTCCCCATCAAGATGGCCATTTGGGTGGCCTAATCCTCTATTTTCAGACACCGCCCACATCTGCCCATGGATGTTCAGGTCAATTACTTCCATGAAAGCTGCAGCAATGGCAACGAATGCAGATATTTTGGTGATGATGCTGCAGCGCGATGCCAGCAGGTTGGAGCGCCAGTATGGTCATGGCCAAAGTGTGGCTGCTGGCCAAGGATCAACATGGATCAACCAATATACCCTCTAGGAAATGAACACAGACCCTGAAGCTAGTCAGTTTTTAGTGGAAACTAATCTTTAAACTCCTTCTTTGGCAGGGTCTATGTTTGTTGGGGTAGGGCATGAGTTTGTCCAAAAAGGGGTTTCCTAAAATGGCAAGTCTAATAGGGAAAGTAAAGATCAACCTTCAATCAGCGGCCCCCTATTTTTCAGACGAACGCCCGTGTGATATCCAAAAACGGGGATGCCCCAGATGTTCGGTGTACTTTTTTATGGGACATTGACTGATTTTCGCGCGGATGCGAACCAGTCAGTTTGCCAGTTCTGTGCAACAACAGGATCCCCGGGAAAGTGGACAGCATGCTGAAAAAGTGGGGTGTCAAGGTGCAGTCATGCAGTCGTGCAGGGTTTGATGTGGATGCCACGTAAAATCAACAGCTATAGGGCTATTTTTATATGGCTCAACGATTGGATTTGTTCAGAGCGAAAAATACTGTATTGCCCTTGATTGGCACCCCAATAATATGGATGAACCTGGGGCCCTCACAAAATCGTAAATCAGTTTGATGTTAATTACAGATGACCCACATTTGAAAGGCAACTCCATGATTCTGGAAGTGTTGGCGGATAGAACGGGCCTGGATCAATTTGAGGTTCATTTTGCAACCCCAAAATTGTGGGGTTTTCACCACGACTGGATTTTGAAGGTCACTCACCATCCCAAATTGGACGTTGCATGGTCCCCAAACATCGCTACATTGTATCCCCAATTGGAGGCGTCTTGGTGGGTTTGCCACACTACATACCATTTAAATTCATTCAAACTATATATGAGCCAGGTTTATGATACATATTATAATATGTATATATATATATATATATTTATAATACACATACTATATATATATATAGCTATACTGTATTTATATATATATATATGGGATGATCGACACTGTGTGCCCAAAGAAAGGCCAGTCAGACGGTTTTTTTGCTGTGTTTTTGTGGTCGCCACGGTTTGAGCCATACCCGTTGTAGCTGGCAGCTGCCTTGGTTGAATTCAGTGATTCGAGGAACTCTGGTCTTAACAAAGGATAGTGTTGCTCATGGTCAAATGGACTATTTGCGAAGAGAAATGAATGAGGGAAATGGCCATTGTGATCCACTGATTGAAATTACTTGTCATACTTACATGTTCTTATCATGTTCTTATCATCTTTGAGAATAGCATAGACTATGAAATCTGAAGCGAAGACCCTGGCTTCTTTCGCGTCGTGATTTCGGCCGAAGGTTCATGTGGTTCCTTGGGATGTGCCCCCAGGGTCCATGTACAATCCTCGCCATGATTGGTGTGCCTTGGTTGAACGGGGGATGTCCACTAGAAGGTTGGTGATCACGCACATGGATTTAAGTATGTGTAGAATGATGATGATGATGATGATGATGATGATATATATATATATATTATACACGGTTGTATCATGTTGTATCTTTATAGTTATAGCTATATATATATACATACATGCATATATATATATATATTAACACTTGCCAGAGAGAGAGAGAGAGAGAGGGAGAGAGGGAGAGAGATATGTAATATGTGTGTGTTTATTCTGCAGGTGCAATATATTTTTTCTTGCGACTGTTGGGGCGGCGGTTCCACGGGGTTCCACTGAGGCGGTCATCAGGATTTGATACGACTTCACACGGTGGGACTGGAAGGACAGCAGCCATGCGGTGCCGTGAGAGATGTGGTTGTTTGAAGGCCACGGACAACAACCAAGAGTTGGGACGTTGGACTATATAATTCAACTTGGAAGCTGAAAACTGTCAAATATTCTTATTGTTTGGGATGAGCCCATGATTGGACGTCGTCAATAAACTGGGCGGTAATGGGCTGACCGGGCAGGATATGATGCTGTGGCTTACTATGATGCAGATTGTGAACCTTGGATGGTTCGAAAGTAAGCATGGACCCCTTGGAGCCCGTTTTGCGACGGCTCCTTGCAACATTTTGCAACCACCGTGCCGAGGCAAGCTGTTTAAGGCAGTTTTGGAGATGTCGCGCGTGCTTTCCTTCCAAACAATGATGGGCCTCATCCGAAATACAACTGAGACTCTAAATGCCGTGTTGCCTGGGAGTTGGCTCCTTTTCTGAGACCCCATGGAAGCATCGTTGGCAAAGAACTGAGGAGTTTCAGGGCGACATTCTACCAGTGCTGAAGTGTGCAGCTCGAGGTTGCCCGGGATGGGAGACAGCTGACGCAAGTGGTGTAGGTGTAAAACTTGCATATTTGGGGTGGCAGCGATAGCGTGCATCACATGCGACGCGGGTAGCCATGACCTGTCAACCTACCATGTTGATCCATTCCAATCATTTAAGGGCCCATTCAGGTGCCATGGAGAAGCTAGCTGCATCTAGATGCTACGGAAGGCCTTGTTTGGGGTTGTAAACCGACTTCAACACTTAGTTAAACACTGATCAAACGCACAATATGGACCTATATAGTTTCTACAGTGACCCTATACCCATTTACTTTAAGACCGTTTGTCATTTTCGTTGTCGCCGACGTTTTTTTCCCTTTGCCAGGCTACTTCTTGAGCACCAACGGCGGGGTGGGCGAAGCCTTGAACATTGGTGCCTTGGCCACTGGTGGATGATGTTCCAAGCATTTCCAAGCTATAAATAACTCTCATTTAGTGAAGGGGATTTCCCACTGAGCCATGTTTCAGGACACCGCAGGCTTGATGTTCGAATGAATGTATTATATCTGTATATGGTATTTTTAATCTATTTGCAATGGGCAATTAGTTCAGTGAAAACAGAAGGGAACAGGGAACCTTAAAATATCCCAAACTAACTAATGTGCAAAAATTGGTTCCCCAAACATGCTGTTGGCGGTTGAAACCTTTAACTGTCCATCCTTTGAGCAAAATGATCAAACTTGATATTACTGTAGACATGGATCATGGATGGATTGAAACCACCAACCGGAACACGCAAAAAGGTTCAACCACCAACCGGAACACGCAAAAAGGTTCATCAAAGGTCCAAATCTTGGGGAAGGTCTCTGGGAGAGGTAGCGATTCCTGCTGTATCATTGGGATGTTTTTCCTCTGAAATGGGGAGGAAGACGCAGGAATAGGGCAAGGACAAGGAAAGAAAAGGAGGGAAAAGGACGGCAAAGGAGAGACCAGGAAGGAACAAAAGAGAAAAGGAGGAAGTTAACAGTTAACCATCAGTTACCAGATGCCAACATATGCCAACAATCTTTGAATTGTGATGAATTTTGGACATCGCCCAGATCTTACCAGGACCGCGCCGTATTCCAGCTATGTTTCTAAACAATTTTGCTTTCCGGACTCCTGGGCCGGCATTCCCACATCACAAAGAAACAATACAATTGGAGGGCGCCCTTTGGTAAACAGCCAAGAAGACAAGTCGGCTTTAACATGATTCTAGACGATGTGTAGCAGTAAAGTCAATCGTGTGTAAATCAATCATCCTTTGTTTTGTCGTCTCAACCATGTGAAACCTCCAATTTTGTGCGGGGCAACCGGGCAACCGTTCTGCGAAAACCATCCGAGGTTTCATCGCGGTGCGACCCAGTCCCCAATTGTTGGAGGCCGCGCTGATCTTCGCGCGCAGTAATAACTTCACCATCCGAGATGGTGCCACGGCACGGGATGGGACCACAGATTGACATGTCTATGTTTAGTAACCATCTAATCATTGGGGTACCCAGTTTGGACCTATACTCATATAGATGGAATGTGATTGAAACCTGAGGCTTTTCGATGATTTCAAATGGGATGTAATCAGAGAAAAACAGGTTGCGCTCGTACATGAGTTTGTTTGGAAAAGGCGGGGGTGCAGCACACCCAATTAATGGCAACTTTCAAGGGGCAAATGATGATAAACCCTTAGTTCCGGAGTTTGTATGTTTGTCCAGGTTGATGCAGAAATGGGAGATTTAGCCCTTTGAAACCAACAATAATGGATAAAATCGGATGTAGTGGGATATCCGCAACACTAAGCGGCTTAGTCGTGTCCTGAAATATGGGAAAAAACATCAAGATATGGCAGTCTTCATGGGAAACGATGATGCAGCAGATTTGGAGGTTTGCCACAGCCTTAAAGATCATAGAGATGTCACTTAGCCAATGAAGAACTGGCATGCTGGTCGTTTAAAACGGAAAAAATGCTACGATTTCGCTCAGAAATTGTGCCCATTGAGTCACGGATGTGGATTGAACCAATAGGCCCAGTGGATGAGATTTCGTTAAGCAACCGGGGCAACCGCCTGTGTTCCAACATGGCAATGGAACAGCCGAACAGCCCATTGTTTGCAGAAAGTTTGACAGAGTTGAGTTTCAACGGTCATGTTTGGTTGCTCCAGTACGCTCGGACTTCTCAGACATCCAGAAATGATTACACACTTACCACTAGCAGCCATAGATCTGCGGAAGACCAGGGCAAAGAATCCTCATCCAACTCGCCCCCACCAGAAAGTGGACACATTGGAAACCCTTTGATCATTGCTGGCGGCCTGTGAATGGAAAGCCATTCTGATCACCCGGCTGCCTGGCATGCCCAGGTTGGGGCAACACTGGTTGGAAGCCTTGTGGTGGTTACTATGTTGGTGGAGAGTGCCCTGGCCACCAGCTATCACCAGCTCCTGGCTGAACCAGGTCCATCCATATCTTTTTTTGGGAGTTTTGGCAGAAACTGAATGAAATTTGGGAACTTTGGGATATGCATGTTTTTTAAAAGCTGGGCTGGACTAGGGTAAGATGCGACGACTGAGGTGTGGGCAGGGCTTTTTCTACAGCCTCTACTACTCCAAAAGCAAAGCTGCTAGGAAAGCCTTGGAAACTTGATTTCATCTCGGTGCAGAGATAGCTGTGGATGGACAAAAGCCCATGGCTATTCAGCCCCAAGAGTCATGCAAAGTTCAACCCATACAGTTATCATGTAGATAGGTATTGATAGGTATAAATATATAACCATAAATAAAATAGTCATCAGGCAGTCATCAGGTATACATATCTGATTAGATGATATAGGTGCACAGCGGGATAGATTATTACATGAACCCATAGTCTGGTTTCTATTTTGTATATGGTAATATATGGTAATCGATCTAGAGGTCCTTGTTTTTTGTTCGAGTTCGCGAAAGAGCTACCACCTCCTGCCGCCCGGAGGTCCGGCAGGAGAATGGTACCGCGCATTTGCCTTTCTCTTCATAGGTAGCAGCCAAGCTTCCCAAAGATGATGCGGGTAGGGGTATTTTCGCGAAAGTTCCGCGAAAGTTCTGCGAAGGAGTGGCGCAAGTCAAAGTGCATTTTGAAGGGAGTGGCCCAGTAAGCCTTGCAAAAAATTGCCTAATTAGCAACAACCTGTCCTGAGAAGGCGATTCCGTGATGCTAGCTGCATGTTTACAAGGCTATGAAAACGTTACCTGTGATAATTAATTTGGTGTGATTTGGCAGCTGATGAATGAATCTTCATAAGAGGAGTTGTTGCTCAACATGGGTTCCGCGCAAGATAAACCTGGGGTTCGCGAAAGATTCGCGAAAGTTTTTTATTCGCGAAGAATGGCCTTTCCCGGACAAAGGAATTTTGATCAACCATCATACAGTACAGATAAATATATGTATATTTATTTATTTAATTATTTATTGAAGATTATTATGAGATTGAGATTTCAATTCTCAATCTCCAAGCCTGCATGTCTCTACATCCCAAGGAAGAGGCTGGCATCTGGGACAACGGCGCCTTTGAGCCGGCCCAGATCGATCGCTGCCTGTGGAACTACCAGACCAGTCACGCGGTTTCTGCACGTGGATGCCGATAAAAGAAAGATATTTTATGATATTTTATACGCATAAGCATGCATAATTGATGATGATGATGATGAAGAAGAAGAAGAACGTGTGCGGAATTACATGGGCGCTCTAATTGAAAGTGTGTGCCATGGTCTACATGGCATCGTTTGATTCCAGTTTCAAGGGCGCAGGCACAGGTGTGGCACAGGAGCCCTGGATGTGACTTCGCAGGGTAAAACTTCATCCTGACAACTATCCTGTGCCAACCTTGCACGGCAATTTCATCTCTTGCCACAGACTAGTTACCCTCTGGTAACTTAACGTAGCTATTGAAAATGATCATTAATAGTTGATGTACCTACTGCAAATGGTGATTTTCCATAGCAACCTGTTAGTTTACCAGGGGGTACTCGCCAGCCATTGTTTCTGGCAGGGTATCCAAGGCTCAAGCCATCCCCGTTCACTCTCAGGCTACCAATGCAGACCTGAATTTGACTGCGAGCGGGTGCGGGTCCACCACAAACCGACCAAGGAGCGTGGTACTGATGCTTGGACTATACTTGGTTATGCCCTCTGGTGTCCTCAGCTCTAGCTGGGAAATGCCCTACAAATGGAGGTGTTTAATGGGAAAATTGAATGGTGAATTTCCCATAGACACGTTTGATTCCCGGAGGGAATACTTCGTTAACTCCCTTTTGCAGAAACCCTTCAGCCAGTTGGTGATTTTGATGCCAACATGAGTAGGAGATTAACAGCGTGGGTATCCATGAAAGGCAGTCTCTTTTGAATCGAACCAAACATAAGTGCAACGTCGCTACCAAGCTGTGCATATCCTTACGAAGCACTAGGCGTAATCTTCGGTTATGGAGCATGTATTCTGCTCATATGATTGAGGGCGTTCGCACATTTTGTTAGGCAAAACTTTGAAGTTCCTTCCTTCACATGGTTTGCAATTGTGGGTTTCCTTGCTCTGGTTCCAAAATATTCCAAATGTCGTCACACTAATTGTCACGTTTTTCTCCAAATCAAATATGTTGATCATAGGCTGTCAGCGAAACTGGCCATATTTGTCAGAACTTCATGCTCGTTGAAACTACAAATATGCAAAGCAACCTTAATTTTGCATGGCTTAGTAAACTACAGGACTGGTATTATGGCAAGTTTCGGCAGCTTATTTTGGCATGCAACATGGATACTTTCTAATGAGCAGTGAAACCACCCACGTACTAGCCATCAATCCGAACAATTATTAAACCCATATATATATAATTATATAGAACACAAGAACAATCATTGCTGGTAAGTCAAGCTGGCATCATGGGTCTAATTAGATTGACCATGAAGGCAAGGGGTTTTGTGTGGTTTTGCGACTAGGTTATATCCCCAAACATGGCTGTGCATAACGGGTGAATTAACTCAGTTCCTAACCAGTAAAATCCATGGCCCATGTGAACAGTTTCTAACACCTCAGTTGGCTGGGGGGTTTTGCCGGCCATGCTTTTTTGATCTTTTTTGGGCATTGTCACTTCACAGGTTGGGACTATGTAAATGGACTGGCATAATAATGCCAACTGTACAGGTCATAATCATAGACCTACAATCGCCTATAGATATATACAATCTAGATTGTATCTACTATACAATCTAGATATAATATCCCCATCCACCAGCCATCAGAAGACACCGCACTCTCGCCGTTCCAAGGACCGCAACGAGTGCGAAAAGCTGAAGTACCGCGAGCGCCGCAAAGAGGCTGCGCGCAAGAAAAAACTGGCGCGGGCGCCACCCACGGCGGAGGAGCTGGCAGCGGCCACGCAAGGCGCGGGGGTTTGAAGGAGCAGTGAGAAACGGGGTGGAGGTGATGGAAGTAGAGTAACCATGGGTAACCTGGAAGATGTTGGGGATTGTAAGATCACTATCATTGTCAGTGATGATAAATTATACGCACATGGAGGGAAAAAGACGGAGGTTGGAAATTGAACTGTGGCGTTTTGAACTAGCAATGATGATCTGAGGTCCCACATATCCAAATGTTTGCAAGCCCTGACGATCTAACCTGGCAATGGAAGCTCCAGTTATAACTATATAGATTGTATTCATATATATATAGAATTATATAGATATGGAACAAGGGGATAGGCCAATGTTGGCCAGGTTAAAGTGCAGCAGGGTGAGTAATTAGTTCCTTTCCTCTAAGATCATTGTTTCCCTCTAGAATTCCCTATTTAGTATTGGATCTATTTATGAATTGGGGTCCCTTGTTATACATACATACACATACACATACACATACGTATACATATACACATACATATACACATAGACATACACATACATATACACATACATATACACACACATATACACATACATATACACATACACATACACATACATATACACATACACATACATATACACATACATATACATATACATATACACATACATACACACATACATATACACATACATATACACATAAATATACACATTCATATACACATACATTTACACATACATATACACACATATACACACATATACACATACATATACACATACATATACATTTACACATACATATACATATACACAAACATGTACACATACACATACATATACACATACATATACACTTACATATACACATACATATACACATACATATGCACATACATATGCACATACATAAACACATACATATACACATACATATACACATACATATACACATACATTTACACATACATATACACATACATATGCACATACATATACACATACATACACACATACATATACAGTACACATACATACGCACACACACATATACACACATATACACATACATATACACACACATATACACATACATATACACATACACATACATATACACATACATATACATATACATATACACATACATACACACATACATATACACATACATATACACATAAATATACACATTCATATACACATACATTTACACATACATATACACACATATACACACATATACACATACATATACACATACACATACATATACACATACATATACACATACATATGCACATACATATACACAAAAATATACACATACATATACACACACATATACACATACATATACACATACATATGCACATACATATGCACATACATAAACACATACATATGCACACACATATACACACATATACACACATACACATACACATACACATACATATACACATACATATACACATACATATACACACAAATATACACATACATATACACACACATATACACATACATATACACATACATATACACATACATATCAACATACATATGCACACACACATATACACACACATATACACATACATATGCACATACATATACACACAAATATACACATACATATACACATGTAGGGGAATGGGATTACTTGGGGACCTTTAGGGATATAACATCTCGGTCCACCCACCTCTCAGGAGTTCTGCTGCGACACTCGGGGGGGCTTTGCGTGCAATCCAATGTGCCCAGACGGTAGTCATCCGCAGAAGGGATGTCAGGTGAATCTGCCCATGGCAAGTGGTCCAAACCATTGATTTTTTTGGTGAGACCATCACATGTTCAGGTTTGTGTTGAGTGTACAAATGTGTTTCTTATGAGGCTCATGTCACCTATTGTCCCATGCATCCAATGTTTATTTGTTCATATCCCCATCTTTAGAAACATATTTGTTCACATTTATGTTGGCGTAATGTTATGTTGACGCCAAAAGGACCTGGTGCGGTTTGTAGATCTGCAGGCAGGCGGTCTCTTTTTTTGGGGTCTTCCATCTTCCGTTGAATTTCTCAGCGGCAACCATTCAATTCAATGATTGACGTTATGACAAAATGGTATGACGTTCAGTTTCACTTGAATTCATTTGATTGATTTGTTGATTCCCTTGAATTTCTATGGCTTCAATGGGAAGGCCCTGAGGACCCGAAAGGACAGATGCACATGTCGTTGAAGAAATTCCAAACGTTCACTGGAATCCTGCGGCCAGGAATAGCCAAGGAACTCACATGACGGGGAAGTAACCTCGCGTATGGGCGGTTTGTTCAAATGGACATATAGTATATATATATATACATAGACATATATATATATATAAACATATATATATAAACATATATATATATATACATTTGCATATATATATATTTATATTTATATGCATATTCCTCATTGAATATTCTGGTACAGTATAGCTATGTTGTAATTTTACGCGCAAACACCCCGATTCGCCCACACCCGTTCTATGCTGTACACTTGGGGATATCAAACGTTAGACTTTACATTCAATTGGGAAGATCAACAAGGGTATTTAGGGAATATATATGTCCCACCCCCGTTAGACTTTACATTCATTAAAGATCTTCAATAAGGGTTCAATTCTCCCACCCCCGTTAGACTTTACATTCATTAAAGATCTTCAATAAGGGTTTAATGCTCCCACCCCCGTAAAACTTCTACATTCATTGAAGATCTTCAATAGGGGTTTAATTCTCCCACCCCCGTTAACTTTTACATTCATTGAAGATCTTCAGTAAGGGTTTAATTCTCCCACCCCCTTTAAACGTCTACATTCATTGAAGATCTTCAATAAGGGTTTAATTATTCCACCCCCGTTAAACTTCGACATTCATTGAAGATCTTCAATGAGGGTTTAATTCTCCCACCCCCGTTAAACTTCTACATTCAATGAAGATCTTCAGTAAGGGTTTAATTCTCCCACCCCCGTTAAACTTCTACATTCATTGAAGATCTTCAATGAGGGTTTAATTCTCCCACCCCCGTTAAACTTCTACATTCAATGAAGATCTTCAGTAAGGGTTTAATTCTCCCACCCCCGTTAAACTTCTACATTCATTGAAGATCTTCAATGAGGGTTTAATTCTCCTACGCCCGTTAAACTTCAACATTCAATGAAGATCTTCAATAAGGGTTTAATTCTCCCACCCCCGTTAAACTTCTACATTCATTGAAGATCTTCAATAAGGGTTTAATTCTCCCACCTCCGTTAAACTTCTACATTCATTGAAGATCTTCAATAAGGGTTTGATGATGATGATGATGATCATGATGATGATGATGTGTAAGAGACTCGCACAGGTCCCTATGCTGCGCGTGGCAATATAGAACATGAAGTTAGCCATGATGCAAAAAAAAACGCATTTTTACCACGGTTTCAGCACATACGAAGATGGCCGCCGACAAGCGCGGGCAAATCGAGGTGTTTGGCCGTAATTTAGTATGTGTATAGGTATATAATTGTATATATATATATCTATATATAATACTCTTATGTGTTTATATAGGCGTGTGTGGACAATATGTAGGATTTGGTTCGTTGCAGCATCTCAGAGGTTGAAATTCCACCATTTAGTTCGAGAATTGTCCCATTTTGTAATGGCATGTTTGGTTACCAGAGGGTATATAACATATGTGCTTATGTTGGTGCTTCGCAGCGGACAAGCCACCAAGGATGCAGACGGCATGCTGCTGCTCTCTGACTGCGATGGAGATCCGACCAAGAACATTCGCTTGGTGCCTGGGCAAAGTACCCTTTTGAGAGAGAGAGAGAGAATATGAATTAGCCTTTGGTAATCAAGCACACATAGATTTGATCACATTGCTGGAAACTTTACCATGTAGGGAAGCCTTGGATGGATAGTGTGGGGCACTGGGGGATTTCGTTTGCTATAATTGAGGTTAAGTATTAGCCAGCGAAAGAAAAATACATGCTGTTTTAGGATTGGCCATTTACATATCCGTTTGCAGATCAATAATGTTACACAGTTGTTTTTTCCGGTTGCCATGTTCATGTTCGACTATAGCAGGGTACGTATTTTAGCAACTCAGGAGCTAGGAATGGAGCGTTTCTACATCAATAGTGTACTTCTTTGTTGATCAACAGTTTTGCATCCCAATCAAACCCAATGATTGGCCCAATGGTGGTTGATTATATGGGCAACCAACCTTAAATGGTTGAACAAGTTAGGCCAGTAAATTTATAAGCTAACATTATATCCCATTATGCCCACAATATCCCATAATATAAACCAGCAGTTCTTGGTGATATTTTCAGTATACCACTATATTTTGGTGAATTACAATTCTTATCCCTTTAACCCATGATACCTTCATTATCAATCATTATCACCCATCATACCGTCACTATCCAGTAGAAAGATCCCGGTCTCATTTCCTGTCGCCCGAGATGAGGTGGAGAACATGTGCCTTGGCATGAAAGCACGGAGAATGGCGGTGGTTATAGCACAAAAAATGATATTGTTACACTGTTTATACCTTAAAATGCTTGTTTAGAAACCATTTTAAACAATAAGCACTGGAGATGTTTAACTTTCAAACATGGTGGTTGACGGTCAGAAGGCACTTTGCCGACCATATCACTAGGAAGTGGTTTGAAATTCGCTGGGGAGAGCATTCTAAAAGTGGTGAGATATGGTGAAACGCTAAAAACGGGGATCCATGTCAACTTCAGCAAACCAGGTGGAACAAGAAACTGCGATGGTTCCCCAAAGTTCGAGTAGCCCTTCTTGTCAAAGATAGGTAAGTGATGAATGTTGGTGTGGCAAAAATTGAATGCCAGACCCATCATCGCTGATTCTGGCAGCTCTTGTGGCTATGTCAGCGTCTACTTGGGTAGATGCCCATCACACTCGCATGGTAATACTTAATGAATACATACACAGACACATTATAAACTTACTATTTATGTTAACTTTCATCCCTGGACTGTTTTTTTTGGTGCATTTATCGTTTATTAACTTAACAGATGCACAGATGTTTTCTGCGTGCTGGGTTTACTTTTGACCTCCTTTCCATGGCGCCGCATCCAAGAAATTCAGAAGATGACGATGCGGAGTCCTTGGGGGAGGCAAGAAGTTGGGACTTCGCATGGGAATTGTAGACCAAACCCCTTAAACCCAAACCCCTTATATTAAACACCCTTCAATGGTCCCAAGTATGTGTAGATTTCTCATTTAACCAAGGTTTCTTGGGGTGTGTAACTTGAGGGGAAGGGATTAATATCATTCTACTGGTTTTGCTCACCAAATTTGAGTCGTTTGTTCATGTCACGTTTTTTGCGATTAATTTCCAGAGCTCAGTCAACTACTCCCAGCGGCGTTTGCCCTTCAGTCATTTGTTGCGCAATTGTTCTCCAGAGTATGCCTGGTTTGGTGATTAAAGTTCAAGCCAACCCACTTTTCAGATTGTTCGTGGTTGCACAGGGGTAAACCCCACTGAAACATTTTCAAAGATGCCCAGTTCGCCAACAGATTTCAGGAACAGAAGTATCCCTTGAGCCTCAGACTGCCACCAGGTGTACCTCAAGATGGGCAAAAAGTGTTCTCATCCGCAAGGCCGAGAAAAAATGGGGGCCTTGGTCAGCTCCACTGCTTGAAGGGGCAGCAGTAGTAGTAGTAGCACTAGCACTAGCACTAGCACAAGTACTAGTACTAGTCCTAGCAGTGGTAAACATCAGAGTTTTGAAAGTGACCAAGATTGTTAAGTTTGAGAGTATCAAATATATAGTATATCTTAATGTCAGTCTCAACGTTCATTTTTCCTACAGGGCAATCAGGGCATCTAAGGTTTGCTTTTGGAGATCATGGCTCCAGCTCGTTCTGAGGAAACACCTGGTTGTTATTGCTGCGTTCTTACCCATCCCTAACAAAAAAGGACCCTGTTTCCAATTGTTGACTTTCATATGTTTTTGGTGACGGCGCCCCTTGAGCGACCGCACTGTTGTCACTTTCATACATGGGCATGATGCTACGCTGCATACATGGGGTGGGGGGGGCATGTTAACGTTCAGGTGAAGTGCATACGGTGTCGATGCTACGTTGCATACATGGGGTGGGGTGGGGGCATGTTAACGTTCAGGTGAAGTGCATACGGTGTCGATGCTACGTTGCATACATGGGGTGGGGTGGGGGCATGTTAACGTTCAGGGAAATCGTTTGGGAGGAACTCAGGTGTTAGACAGAATTTGGGATTCACTCAAAAGAACTTTGCCTCGCACTTTGAGTACTCGACTACTCGACAGTTGTCCCTGGATGCCACGCTCTTGCGCTTGCAGCGCTATGTATGGATGTGGTACTGGAGACACAGGATCTCGAGTGAAGGATCCGATGTTTTAGAAAGTTTAGGAGCTTTGATGTCCAAAGTGAATGACGCCTTGGGTTACTGGAAATAACCAGTAGAAGACAAGCAAGAAGTGAAAAACAGGAGCTTAGCAAAACACGTATGGGCATGAGATGAAGTTTTCGAAAGAAATGTTTAGTCAGAAATGACGTTTTCGCTATAGCCAAATACAAGATGTTGAAAAAATGAGGCGCGCCTACAGCACTTTTGACGCTTCCACACGAAGCATTTGAAGATGGCATGTACCAAAGCACTGTAAATAATGGGATGTGAATCGAAAACAGGATCAAAGTCACATATGAATAACGCAGAAAGCGTGGTCGCCCTACAGGCGTCTTAACCATGTTTTTGAGACGGGTGATTCAGCACAATAAATCACTAGTAGTAGCTTTGGTACCCAGCTCCTAAATTCCACCTTTTCTTGGGTGACTTTTGAGGTGGTACCACATAGTTAGTCAAGTTGGTTATGAATGGGCTGGGGTTCATTGCTATCACAATAAAGGCAGGTAGGTGTTCGCAAGCCAACTAACATACATAGGGGTTATATAACCGCCTAGCTCACAAAATGGGCTATCCCGAAATCTCATGGTTTCTCATGAGGTTCCTTACTAAAATAATCATTTTGAGGGCATACCCCAATTTCAGACAGACCCATATCACCTTATTGGTGATATCTCCCAGTTCTGTTTTATACACATATTTTTGTTGAATACCAGTTTTGGTTGCTTCAAATCCACAACATCGGAATTTTGTGCTTGTGCGAATCCATAGCACCGGCATGTTATCTGCTTAAAGTCACCTAAACAAAACGTTTTTTTTGCTGGTTAGAGTGCATAAAGACCACCATCCTGGTTGGCTCTTAAAAAAAAGTTGCACGGCCCTTCTCCAACTTCAGGCGATGAAGACGAGGACACGGCTCCGGCAGAGCCCAGATTGATTTTCGACGACTGCAACTTGGATGCAGTGGAATGCATTAATTATCATTCATATATGCATATATATATACATTATATATATAATGTATATATATAATATGTGTATATATTTATATTGTATTATCGGTATGTATGTATGTGTATATATATATACTTGCATATATGCACATATGTATATATGTACATATGTATATATATATATATATGTATATGAGTGGTATTTTACTGTAATATATTTTGCACACTAGTATTTATTCTATATACATTATATATATTTTTTCTACATATATATATATATGCATATTTGCTACATGTATGTGTATATATATATATATGGATACATTTTTTAAATATGCACTATGTGCAATACAATTGAACACCCAAATACTGTATGTTTAAATGACTTATGACGATCATGACCTCACTGCAACGTCAGCAGGGATGTTGGCTAGTAAAGGGAATCATCCACAAATGACATTTGAAATTTGAGGTTGGTGATTGCAATAGATCCAGATACTTGTATGCATGTATATCTACTATATATTTTTTGAACTCTCTGAAATCGGGCCCAACAAAAATGAATAGAGATAGTGCGTCTAGGGTGGGGGGGAAGGGTTGCCTGGTAAGACTTGGTTGGTTAGTACTTAAGGGTTAGAATAACTTTCTTGCGGGTAGAACAGGTTCCAAAGAGCTTGAACGTGAACCCCTAGTATTTGCATGTGCTTTTATTTGGAAAGTTACCAAGGGAAATTTTATTGGAAACCACGGTTATATCATCAAATTGAGTGGTTTCCTTCAGTTGTTCCCTTCACCCAATTCTTGGACGCCCAGTTTTGAAAGCACCTCTGGAGCTCCTTTGGGGCCCCAGCTTGTGGCAGCCAGGTTCTTCTCGCGACCATCACTTTGTCTTCAAGCGCTTGAAGGTCTTTGAGCCACCTTCCCTGAGATTTCTTGGGATGGAAATTAACTACCGACTATATGTAGAATTAAATTATGTAGACATTTGTTTGGTCGGAAATCTAGTGTCCCACAACATCATCAGAACACGGAAGGCGGTCCTATCAATGCGTTGTGGCCAACGCCCATGCCCAACGCTTGTTTCACCAGGCGGAGGATGGCAGCTCCTTCCTCTTGGAGCACAAGGGCTCCAGGCGGGTCCCGGCTCTGCCCAGTGTGATGGGCTGAATTGGTCCGCAGCACTTTCAGTGAGACATGCCTGACTGGCAAGCCTGAGTTTGGTAGGATGGTTATGTGAATGGCTGTGGTTTTCAGCTCCAACCTAGGACAGTTTCACATGTTCAGCCATTTTCAGCTGCAGGAGGTGTGTGCACCCCTTTGAGGGTCAGGACAGGCCCCATGAGGGTACAGAGCTCTTGTTGCACTCGGAGCCATGGCTTGAACATGGGTCACCTGAATGATTTTCCTTGTTTTTTCCCCTGCTGATGTCATTCCTATTGCAAGTGAGAATTGTTCCATCGCCGGGCTGGATGGCTGACTCCCCAAGGACTGCAGCACTGCGCGGAAAGCGCTGACGTTTCAAACCAAAGCGATGGCCGGGTCCAAGGAAGCGCAGGGTCAAAGGGGCCGGAGCTGACTGCTGGCCATTTTTTGGGGGAGGATGCTTACATTTTGGGTTTATTAATGAACAACGATTATAAGTAAACTAGTAGCCTGTTCAAATGTTCTTGTTTTCACTGGGCATGTTGTTTGCATGCTGTATTCTTTTTTGGACAGCTTTTGTGAAACATTCAGCCATAGATTCATGATAGATGTTGAAACGCCCGCAGAGGCAGCCGCAACACCCGAACCAAAGATGCCGCTGACCGTGTCTTGTACTGCAAGTTGCATTTGGGCTTTTGTGCAACCTGCAAGGCAAACTCAGCAGCGATTCGTCACAGGTAGCGAATATAAGGAGCGTATGGTTGTGGTTTTCAGATGTTTTCAGGGCATTGCTTGATCGCAGAATGCAAACAAGAATGAATTACGAATCATCACTCTCCAAGTGATGCTTGCCACCACCTCAGCCCCAACATGCACATGGTCGCACCGGGGATGTGCGCCACGCCGCCGACGGCCGGGCCGGCGTGGCGGTGGCCGCAGGCACATGCCGGAAACGGGTCGTCACCTACCCCCGAATTCACGGCGAGCCGGCGATGCCACCTCATCGTGTGTGGCATCGAAACCTGTGGCAGGTGGGGTGACGAAGCCATCGCACTCCTGCGCGGCCTCGCCCAGGCCAAGGCCTGGGAGGTGACGCCTTACCTTCGAGGGGCCAGCGCTGGCGCGTACACCAGCCGGTGGGCATGGCCATCACAGCCCAACGGGCGCTCGCAGCGAGCCTGCTCGAGCTGCCCTTGGGTGGCCACAACCACAACGACGACGGCGACCCGCAGCTCCATTTGGTGCTGGCGGACGCGCGCCACGACGAGGGCCCATCGCCCATCGCCCAGTCGTTTACCTCTGAGAGGGGGGTTGTACCTGAGACACGGGCAAAAAAGAAATGAGCAGGTGTTTTGATAGCTCGGCTTTTAAGGATTGTATAGTCCGTATCGTAGTTGCTCCTGCTCAAGTATCTACGGTACCTATAATATCTGCACACAAAATATACGCTTGACATTTGGTTGCCCGTGTTCCTTTGTGGAAAAAAAATCTCATGGTCTTTTTCATCGAAACTACGCTGCAAAGCTGGGTAGATCTGGGTAGCTTGGGGGAGCTCCTGAGGTGGCCGCACAGGAACCATGTCAGTACATGAAGGGCAGCCCTCAAAGTTCCCGACCTGGAAAGCCTTGCCCCTTGGCCACAAGGAATCACAAGGAGCTGGGGCTGGCCAATGCCAAAGTGGCAGGACCATTGAAGTGGTTCAACGGAAAAGCAACTGAGGAAACCTAGCCATTCCAATCATTCCAAAAATAAATTTTGCATGGTAACCCTGTTCCTTGAATGATCATGGATCATCATGGATGATGTCTACTCACACCTTGGCATTGCCCCGTCTCCGTCCGAGGTTTGCCACCGGCAAAGTTCTGGCCATACAAGGCCGAGCAAAGACTTCGAGATGTGGTCAGTGCAAGCAGTTGGTGTTTTTGTTGTAAAACATGTTTACTGATGCTTACTCATGTTTACTGTTTACTGTGTCGTACTGTTGCTGCTGGGCCAACGAAAAAATGATCAATTTTTTCTATTTAATCAATTTTCATGTGGGTGGGCCCAAGTGCCATCCAGCTTGGTTCCGTTTTGGCCCGAAATATAGGGAGCTTTGCTGCATGACATTTCGTGATTGACCGCACCTGTTCAGGCAAAGACACAGTGGCGCATCGATCTGGGTGAACGGATCTTAGCAGCTTGCTGGAGATTGGAGGGCCATTGCAGGCCATTATGTTGTATCGTAAGCATTCGTTAGCTAGTGCAAACAGGACCCAGACCCTAATGAGAATTTCTGGGAAGGTATATACGCGTAATTGCGTGCACTGCAGCATGAATTGGTCACTATCGGTCAGAGTTCGGTGGTTAGTTCGTTTACTTCACGCATTCCAGCAATAAGCCGCACTGAGGCGGCCGTCACACCAAAGATCAGCGAAAAGGTCTGTGATGGTCCCTGATAGAAACGAAGGGCGGGGACAGATGGGATATAGCCCACAACAAATGGGAATGCACACCAGACAAGGAAGGTGCACCCTTGAAGCATCTGAAATTTCAGGATGGAACCCAAGTTGGCTTCTTGCGGAAAGTTCTCTTTTGAGGGATCCTTATTGGTGGTTGTTATGTCAAGTTTTCTGTGTGAGTATGAAGGTACAATAAATGATGATGACATAGTCCAAGCTTGTTAGAGGGATGCATCGTTGAAAGATGTTGAAAGTCTAGGCAGCAGCTTGAAAGGATTCAATCGTGTTTTTCCTTACCGGGCAGCACAATGTATTTTAGACAAGATGGTCTCCTGCATCAAAGTACTTCTTTGTTGGTCAGTCTCCTGCGAGGTGGCCATGGAGAGAGAGAGAGAGATCGAGAGAAACAAAACAAAGGCCCATTTGGTTTTTAGACCCACACAATGACTGAGATGAAAACCACACATATCATATTTTGAATTTCATATCATTTTCATTAAACAGTGTTTTGGCTCTTAGGGTTCTGAAGATGTTAGAACGTGACAAACAACAAAGCCAAGCAAGAAAAACTACCAGTAGATCTTTAAAAAATATAGCCAACCAGTGATTTTCATAATATCCCTTCGATATGAGCTCGCAGTTCACACCCTAGTTGCCACATCCACGGTGCAGCCGAGGTTTCTACCTCTATGGTGACGTCACCTGGTGTAATCGAGCCTTTAGCGCGGGACCAGCAGCACTGATTGCATTGTCCTATGGCATTGAAGAACGGGACATCTGGAGCGAACTGATGAGCCAGACACTGGGTTGAAGTGGCTGGGTATGGAACGCGCCACATGGTTCTCGCGTTTCCATCTTGTGTAGTCGCATGGTTTCCTAGTTGTTTCATTCTTGCCTCAGCCACTAAGAGGAAGGTCCTAAATCAAATTTCTGCTCAGTGGCTCTGGCTGGTTGAGGGACCGTAGGACCGTAGGAGGTTGAAAGTACAGGACCTGGACTGACCTTTGTTGCCATTCAAGACCGTCAAAGTGCTACAAATCCAACGGACATATAGAATATGTTTGATGTTGAATGGACAACTGGCACAACACTTCAACTGGAACGTGGCATATCAACAATTATCAACAATTGGATCACTGGGGTCCAGCAAATGATTGGATTTGGGTGTGACCAGCGTTTGGTTCGATATCGTTCAAAGACATCGGATCACGGTCCCGCACGTGCTGACACCGACTCAGGAAGGGTTTGCGCACAAAGCTGCACCTGGGTCCTGCAACCAGTTCCATGTTATACCCAACCAGCCGGGCAATCCCATGACATCCCATGACTCATGGGTTTCAATCTTGGGGCCGGGCTCTTGTTGTATCCGCCCCATGCCACGCCTCAATCTTGGTCAAAGAGCATCAACCAGCCGTCAGGGCAGGGTGGGGATTGGCCCCCCAGATGTCACAGGCCCAAACTGCCAGCAATAACCATCAATTAACCATGACTAATTAGTGTTAATTTTGACTTCCCAGGTGCCCATGCACATTCAGTGATTGTGACTATTGCTTTGCGACCGTCCCAACTACCACTGCCACACTTTAACCTACCAACTTGTGCGCATGGCAGGGCCGAAAGCCTGATCTCCATCACTAGGGTTTAGCTGTAGCACCAACATTGGTGATTTTATTTGAGCTGAGTATATGCCCACGTCTACTGGTAGTGACAATTATGTGGGGATTATAGAGATTTATACAGCCATGCGTTCTTATCTATAGTTTTGTACTCACCCTTGCATAGTCGTCACAGCATGTCACAAACCTCATGTTAACTATGCTCTTCTATCCTGGCATTTACTGTATGCGAAACGTTAGGATTGTAAACACCATAGGTTTCTGCTATTTTCCTCTTCCACCAGCCCCTCGCCAATGATTTTAATAATATCACCCAGTGTTTCTTATTTGCAAAGTCAATTCTGCATGCTTTTCCCATCTTTTCCCCACGTAGAACGGCAAGCTTCCACCCATCCCCCGTCGCCGAGGTACGACTGTTTCATTCCGCCGGATCGCTCCACACCCATTAGTGGCAAGGCGCCAAATGGCACGAAGCGCTGCAAAGGGGTCGAGAAGAAGCCGTGCCAATCAGCTGCAGCCCTGGATGGGAGGTGGGAAAACGATGGAAAATGAGGTTATAATATGGGGAAGGATGGGGAAGGTATGGTAAAGGATCATTGGATCATTGAGGTTGTAGGCTATATCTGAATTTGCTGAGTGAATGATTGTTCTACACTTTCCCAATGGGAATTGCAGTAGGGGAATCTTCATTGGGAAGTGTGTTTTTCATTTTTGGGGGTTCCTTAAGCAAATCCAAAAAGGGGGATGGTTCCCTGGACATTTCATTGGAAAAACTTAGGAGATTGAAGTGGCGGATTTAAGGCGGATTGGCCAAAATGGGGAACCAACCAACATTTGAATTTAATAGATGTCCATGGTATTCTATGGTCTAGAAGGACCGCACACCATTCAAAATGAGGGATGTCCCAAAATGACTGAGGCAAAGGGGTCTTAAGCATGGCTCACCTGATATTTCAGGTTCAAGTTGGTTGACAGCTACGCCAACAAATATCAGGATTTTGGGGGGCGCAGAACCTGGAAAACGGGATCTCCAAATGTGATGTTGCTTTTGCTTCTCCGTTTGGGTTCTATACAAGACATAACTATTATATAAGAATTGAACTGACTAACTTTTCCCGCTGTTTTGGCTCGTAATTTCATGTTTCCAGTGGTGGCGACACCATGCGACCCCTAGGGGCTTGGGCTACCAAGGCTATACGACAACGTACGAGAGCTACAGGAGTGACCCTAGTGAGGGATCGCTATCCTGCACGCGGCAAGCGTTTGTAGATGGCTTGTAAAAAAATGTCCTCAGATGCAACTTCCTTGCATGCAATCATCTACGACATTATATATGTAGATATATACATGTTTAATGTTTACGCACACACACATATTTATATATAATATATATTCTATTACACACGCATCTGGGGGTGGCTTGGTAGACGAAGCCACCGATCTTAGTGGCGACCACCAGGATCTGCTTGGGTGCCGAGCCAAAAGTGGAGGAGGGAAGGCGCTTCGAGACATTGCTTCCACACCTGCATCATGGCCAACGAAAAAGCGTGGACACGGGGGAGTTGGTGTGGGATCCATTCTGCGATAGACATTTTCATGAATTTACCATTATGTACTTTACCACCAACAACTACTAACAAGAGCTTATCAACATATATTCACCATCTATTGTTGAGGGGGTTACCCTTGGAGGGGCCGGTTGGATCCCCATGAAATGTCTTTGGACTATGACTAGTGCTGGGAAAACATAGGGATGCTGTTGCTACCAGAACTCGTAGAATCTTAGGTTGACAGTCTTGTTCACAGAGAACCCCCATGATGTCTTCCATGCTGCTCTTCTATGCAGAGATACAGTGGCACAGCGACAGGCCACCTGATTCTAGGTCCAGATGGTTTCTTCCAGTTTTCCGTTGATTTGAGGGCAGAGTATCCACCACTCTCGGTGCATTTGAAGCGCCTTGTCGGAAGCTGGTGGGAAGGGGGCCCAGCCACGGTCTTCAGATCCCAGGAGTCGGGTTTAAACCCTGACCCTTACTGTCATTGTCCAAAATAGTGATACATTATCCTTGAAATTGGTACCCGGTACCCTCTCTATTCACCAACTGGGGAACTATTAATTCTGGGTTAACATTAGGGTGAAGGTCTCAGCCTGAACTGAAATCGCTGAGGATCGACACAGAAGGATCAGAGTGGTCCGTGCTGGAACAACTCATGGATAGCCCAGACAAGGGAAAGATCAGGACGGGTAGCAGAAGGTGATGGCAGCCAAGCAGGTCGCAGGAAAAGAGTGAACCCTCAAACAACCCCAGGGAGATACAGTACCCATGTAACCATGTGGATGTCCTTTTTGTGTGTTGAAGATTCTGAAGAAGCCAACCACAAGGTAGCTGGACCACCGCCCGCAACAGCCCGTGGGTATTTTAGTGCATTTTTGCTTGCTTCCGTTGAAGTTGATGCGTTCTCTTGGAACTTGCGTCATGTCACCATGAGGTCAGGGGTGTTAACGTTCCTGGCACTTGCGTCTTGAAGTCTTGGAACTTGCGTCATGTCACCATGGGGTCAGGGGTGGGCGGGTGTGATGACGTTCCTGGCACTTGTGTCTTGAAGATGATGTTACGCTACCGCACGTTGTCACGTTGTCAGGAAACATCGGTAACGCCTGCAACTCCAAACGAGTTCTTTTCAGCAGTGAAGAGATTGCTGAAAGCCACGTGACTTCCAAACGCTCAGAAGAAAAGATTCTTCTTTGAACACCTGGGTCCTGGAATGTGTGAAAACACGCAAATCCTATGGGCCAAATGACATGTATGCATCCCCCCCCATAATTGCGGATTCACAGAATTGATGTTAGGCCGGCTTGAAAACACTTTTGAGAAGGAAATTAGACTGGGAACTACACATGGCACATTTTAAATCATTTTAACCAAGGAAACTACGCGCTCGAAAGCTTCTTTGGCTTTCTCAAATATTTGCCATTGGAATTACAAACATTCCATGCACTTGGAATATGACAAATATCATTTCGTACCACGGTCCAGAATGAGCGGTGAACCTAGTTCCCGCCAGTTATAGTTTTATTCTGACGTATCTATAAACCCCATGAACTATAGTTACATATCATTATATATCCCTATATCGCCCTTCAACTCATAGAACCAGAGGAAATATGGAAACACATCATCAACGTCAAATCTTCTGGAGGAAAATACATAAAACACCTGACATGTTTCCTTCAGCACGTGGCAGGACGCTGGACATGGAGGTGCACTTTGGCTGGGACAACCAGGGCAACTTCGCCCACACGCGGTAACCTGACTGACCTGGCTGATTTGTTGCGGCATTGTGCTGAATTCTAAATGAAATTCCCAAAATTGTGATCCAACACTATATGAATGTATATATCATATCAATATGGAATGTACGATAACCTTTATAATTGGTTTAAAACACGCACATACATATATATAAACATTCAAACTCATAAATGGATTAAGCAATATTATACATATATGACTGCATGTTACGATAATGACAATACAATTAAAGGACCGGATAACCCCACATGTCAACTTCCTCCAATAATGAGCAACAAATGTTGTAGCGGGACGGGGAAGGAAGGAAAGACAAAGGAGGTGGTGAAGGATCGAGAAGTAAAAACAGTTGTGTGGGACAAAGTTGTATGTGAAAGATGGTGTGTGACAAAGAAAGATGGTGTGCGACAAAGATGGTATGCATGTATGCATGTATGCATGCATGCATGTATGCATGTATGCATGTATGCATGATAATGTAATGTAATGTAATGTACTGTACTGTAATGTAATGTAATGTAATGTAATGTATGTATGCATGTATGCATGTATGTATGTATGTATGTCTGTATGTCTGTGTGTGTGTATGTATGTATGTATGTATGTATGTATGTATGTATGTATGTATGTATGTATGTATGTATGTATGTATGTATGTATGTATGTATGTATGTATGTATGTATGTATGTATGTATGTATGTATGTATGTATGTATGTAGCCAAAACCGGCATGCCAACACCATGAGTATAGGTGAATGGCAGTGGCCGGTCTTGGCAGCATGCGCAATGTGGCCAAGCAGTGCGCGCAGACTGTCATGAGAGCGGACGGTCTGCTACAGGCGCTTGGCTAATGCAGAAGGTTGGCGAACGAGCTTCGCAGAGGTACCTGGCAGGTCAGGCAAGTCAGACAGCAACAACACGCATGGACAACTCAACGATGCAGTAAGTTGTGCGTGAGTAAGTTGTTTGTGGACAAGTTATGTGTGAGCAAGTTGTGTTTGAGTAAGTTGTGTGTGTGGACAAGTTGTGTGTGGGGAAGTTGTGTGTGGACAAGTTGTGTGTGGACAAGTTGTGTGTGAGTAAGTTGTGTGTGGACAAGTTGTGCGTGGACAAGTTGTGCGTGAGTAAGTTGTGTGTGAGTAAGTTGTGTGTGGACAAGTCTTTTTTGGACAAGTTGTGTGTTGCCCGCCTGCAAAGTGACGATCCATGTCGCCAAGTGCCACGCCTGCCAGGCAAACAGCCGCGGCGCCCACGGCGCCAAACGGGAACCAAGCGCGCCACCAGAGCCAGCCCAGTGCCATAAGTGCCACGCTTGCCACGCAAAGTGCCGATCCATGTCACTGTCGCCAAGTGCCACGCTTGCCACACGAAGTGACGGTCGATGTCGCCAAGTGCCACGCCGGCCACGCAAAGTGACGATCCATGTCGCCAAGTGCCACGCCTAACACCTGCCACGCAAACACCTGCAACGCAAATGTGACGATCCATGTCGCCAAGTGCCACGCCTGACACGCACCAAACCAAGCGCGCCACCAGAGCCAGGCCAGTGCCATAAGTGCCAGGCCTGCCGTGTGTGACTAAGTTGTGTGTGAGTAAGTTGCGTGTGGGCGGGAAGTTGTGTGTGAGTAAGTTGTTTGTGGAAAAGTTATGTGTGAGCAAGTTGTGTGTGAGTAAGTTGTGTGTGGCCAAGTTGTGTGTGAGTAAGTTGTGTGTGGGGAAGTGGTATGTGGACAAGTTGTGTGTGGACAAGTTGTGTGTGAGTAAGCTGTGTGTGTGTGTTTGGGGAAGTGGTATGTGGACAAGTTGTGTGTGGACAAGTTGTGTGTGAGTAAGCTGTGTGTGTGTGTGTTTGGCGAAGTGGTATGTAGACAAGTTGTGTGTGGACAAGTTGTGTGTGAGTAAGTTGTGTGTGTGTGCGTGTTTGTGAGTAAGATGTGTGTGGACAAGTTGTGTGTGGACAAGTGGTGTGTGAGCAAGTTGTGTGTGAACAAGTTGCGTGTGAGTAAGTTATGTGTGAGCAAGTTGTGTGTGAGTAAGTTGTGTGTGGACAAGTTGTGTGTGAGCGAGTTGTGTGTGTGTGAGTCTTGTGTGGGAGGAGGCGGCGGGAGGAGCGGCGGGAGCGTGGGAGGAGCAAGCGCGGGAGTGCCCAACTACAAACAAGAATCCCACACAAAGATGTGGGGAAAAACAAACATGATTTTAAACATCTTTGCTAATTGAAATAGTCCAAGATCATTTCTTCCAGCAACTTTGGAGGTTCCCATGTTGGCAAATCTTAGACACTGCTGACCTGGTAGTTCTGACCTGGTAGTTCGTGAAGGGCTGTATGATCACAATGTTTTGTTTTTTTTAAGCGTTTGTATAATCAACAAAACTGGGATCTTGGGACATCCTGCCGCATATTGTGGCATAGTATAGCACATGTACATAGACGACGTAAAATCCAGAAAATTTCTTATCAACCACATGGGTAGCTTTTGGCACAACAGATCTTCCTTTTCCACAGGAAAATGTCGAAGAAGGAACTGCTCCAGTCACATGTGGCGATCATGGAGAGTCTCCTCGAGGAGTTCGAATGCACAGGCCATGGCGCCAAAACATAGATTGAAAATCACCTGTTTGGAGATTCCGAAGTTTTCCATGTTTGGGTTTGACCATCCCACTTGTGGGTACTGTTTTGCAATTCGACGAAATGTGATTAAACGAATCAAAATCCTGAGTTTTTGCAAGTCCCAGTCATGTTGACAAATGAGTGACAAATGAGTGATTACCTAAAGGCTTAGTTGAGATGTCTTTTTGCCGCCTGAGGGAACAAACGTGCCAGGTTCGACCCTGGAAGTCTATCGAGAAGGTTGGAATCCACAGGACCTACGGGTAGAACACAAGGAAAAACAGGCCCCCTAGATTTGTCAGTTGGTGTAGAACTACTAAGGGATTTATGGCAGATATATGTCTACAGTTAGATGCGATTATAAACTGACTCATGACTGGGAGTCCTTGCCTGTATAGGTTTTTGTCGCATTGAAGTGTAATTTATAGAGGTAAAGTATATATAATTGTACCTCAATTTATTGAGAACTGATGAGATCCGTATCGGTCGAGTCCTTGGGCCCGAACATTTCAAGGGTTTGACACATGCTGATACAAATTTGTGACCAAAGTTTGTCATCTCCAGGGGCCCCAGGGCTTTCCATTTTGAATCATATTATACACGTGAAACCCATGTTGTGTTGTTGTGTTAAATGACTTCCATTTTCCATAGTTTCAGCAGCTGTTTGTGGTCACTCATAGCTATCTATGGCCCCTGTATAGCCCATTTACAATGAATGAGAACTGGTGGTTTCAAACACTTTTGTCCCTGTGTGTTTGTTTGGTTGTGTTGGTTGCCGATTGCACTTGAGTTTCATGTATTTGGGACGGATTGAAAGCATCAATCAATAGTCATCAATAATCATCAATAACTCATTGTCAATAACCATCATCAATATATGTCGTGTCTTCCACTTGAAACTTCTCATGTTCATCCTGGAGCCATCTCCCACACCAAGTTCGGTGTTTGGAACATGGTAGAGGTGGCCATGAAAATCAATCGCAATCCTGTGTTTCACAGGCACAAAAATGGAACAGGTTGGGAGCTGGGACTATAGAGAAAGTATTAACATGATGCGTGCTTGATTTGGGATATCAACCCAAGGTAATGTGATACAGCATGTTAAACCCAACGGTCAAGCCAATTGTTTCCAGAGATGGTGGTGTATAGACCATTCTGAAATTGAAGTAGTCGGTGCACTATTGGCTTCAACATCGGGCCTACAACAATACACTCAGGTCTTTCCATCAGACCTTTTGCATGTCGCATCCACGGCTGAGACAACCACGGCAGGATTGCCCAAAGAGCAAGTGTAACGAGCCACCGGTTTATCTGCCTGGAGGGTTCTCAGTTTCCCAGCTGCAGACTCTGGGGATGCGTCCCATCATAACTATATAAGTGGTGATCATAAGCGATTTACTTTCGGAAACATGTTTATAGCTGGGGTATATTTCACATAAAACTGGCTTGTCATATTGGTTACTATCCCGGTACTGGAACGCACATCCAGTTACGGGAGATCCAACTTTGATGACGGGCACTGGAAAGATAGGGCAGGATCAATTGTCAATAAAAAAACCTTGGCACAAGATGTATGTATATGTATACACACACATCCACGTGTATATCATGAAATCATCTGAATGTTTTGAAGTCATTGCGTCACACAGAAAACAGATGTTAATTATATACCATCTGGTCATCTGACATGGCTTGCTGGAAAGTCTCCCCAACTATATATAGATGCTGCTGTTCCCACTACAACCTCCAGTTAGTTGAGGAATTCCCCTGCTAGCCATGGAACTGGTGACTCCAGACAGCATATGCTGCGGCGTTTGAGGTGGAGATGTTTGCAGTGAGCTTCGTGAACAAAGCCATGTTGAAACCACATGGAGCGTCAGCTTTGTGACCTGTGCGCCAAAACTGGACAGCGCTGGGCAGTGCTGGGCAGGGTTTCTCTGGATGCAGGAATTGCTAGACACAAAACAGGATCTAAACACCCGTTTTAGATGGTGAACCAACCTGCTTCGGATGCTTAGACATGTAGTGTCTTTTATATCATGCCGGTTGGAAGTACTTGTGGCACAAATGTGAGGGCTTGGTATAGGTTACAGATCGAACATGTGGAACTCGTGTGCGTGGCACCCGGACATGAAGTTTGGCTAGTTTCGTTTCATTTGTTGTGCGCGCGCATGTGCTTTTGTGGCTTGAAAACCGCTTCTCTTCAGCAAAACCACATGACACCCAAGGATGAGCAAATTGCACAAAAGCTGGATGTGTTTTCTCGTGACGACAAGTAGCAATATATTCATGCCTTTGTTGTGGGCTCGATGTTGGCCATTGCCTTGAAAACTTTACCCCTATGTTTGGATCTCCCTTGTTGCCAAACTTTGATTATCTTCATCAATGTATGGATCAATGTGTGTGTGTCAGTGGTAAGTTAGTTCAAGACCTGGGTTTGGAATATATACATTTAACCATATAATGTACGTATATATATATATTTATGTACAGTATATGGTTTGAGAATTTTTCAGGATGTGTTTTTCCACCCCTCTCAGGCGCATTTATTACATTAATATGTATACATCCGTTTCGGCTCTGCCATGTTAGCTTCTAGGTTTTACTGATTTTACAAGTGGTTTTAATTAACTTTGCATTATATATATATATATATCTATCTATTGTTATATCTACCTTCTGGTAATTTAGCATAGCTATGCAGTAAATGGCCATTTCCGGTTCTCAAATTGTTAAATTACCAGAGGGCTCTACGGATATTCATCCCACTATTCATCACTATTAATAGATATTAACCGCATTTATACAACGGATATTAATTCCAGATTATTGAGGTATGTTTCCATTCATCCACGAATTGTCCATTCATTATCCATTGACTATCCACTCATTACCCATTAACCATCCACTGTTTACCCATTAACTATCCATTAATATATGGATGTAGGTCAGTATTTAGACGGTGAATACTCAACATATACAGTACTAAATCCTGTGGTTCCGTAGGATTAGATTTTGAGCCCATCAAATATCCATGAATTATCCATCAACTATCCATTAATTATCCATGCGTTATCTATCAATTACCCATGAACCATCCATCAACTATCCATCAACTATCCATTAATTTTTCATCAAAATATTTCCATCTGTATATACATGTATATAAACTGTTTATCCATGAGCACATTTCCATATATATATATAAGTTTATATAAGGTAAGTATTCCGCGCTTACGCTCCGGGATCCCAGTCCTGGGAGTTCTCCTCGAGAGGCCTCGGAGGCCAGTGGTTTGCTGGGAACCTGGGTCGCTTCAGTCAGCAAGTGGTGCCAGGTGCGACGGGTTTTCGGATGGGATGTGGGAAGGATGGTTTCATCATGTTTCATGTGGCCCCTGTATGGTTGATTGTATAGTAATAGATTTATATATATATAATATATAATATATAATATATATAAATATATATACATATATATATTATACGCATGTATATATATACTATACCTTATATATATATATATATTATACATATATATATATATATATTATGCATATACATATGTATATTCAATGTTTCATGTGTTTGGTGTCGAGATTGAATGGTCATGGGGATTAAGGGGCTTTAGTGTACACAAGCAATGGACATATTTAAAGCAACTTAATTTGTACCATTTTGTGACCTTTTTTTTTCTCGCGGGTGGTGTTTTCAAATATTCACATTAATATTGAACAAATGTTCTGCATCGATTTGTCTTGAATGTCTTGCTAGATTGTGTTGGTTCCATTCGCTCCCCATGTTTTCGCCACAGAACGTTTGGAACGGCATCGGCGCCAACCACGCGCCTGGCGTTGGAGGCATTGTTGAGGCGATTACCTGACGTGGGAAAAGATAACCTCCTCCCAACAGCAGGGCTTAACACAAACCGTATTGCTGACGTTGATGTGTGTGAATCACCTCTTAAAGGCATTATTTGTGGGAGCTGACTGGTGGGGGGCACCCTGAGGTTTCTGTGATATTTATTAATTAAAACTCAAAACATATTTAGACATTTTGTTTTCCGAGGTGGACAGTTTCAAGTTTCGTAACCCTCCTTCATTCTCCTTCTATGTAAAATTGTCGACCATGTTGGATTTTGTGAGGTTGTCTCCAGTTGCTGCAAAAAATATGTGAGCATATTTTTGTTGGCCATGAACATGCAACAAATATATATATATATATATATATATACATACATACATAGATGCATATACACACATCATTTGATGCACTGTCTTCAAGAGTAGTCATGGTTGGATGTTTAGGTTGTCCTCCAGTAATCAAATATGGCCTCGTCAGGACAGCTTCATGGCACTCCTGGCGGCTGCGCCTAGGCGGATTTTCGTAAAATCCCATGCTGAAAGAGTAAGAAAAAACACGGCTGGCTAATGACGTGTTTTTTGGAAGTTAGTGCCATTTAATGCATTAGAATCTAACTCGATGATAGCTCTGTTGGGCGAAACAGTTCACTAAGCCTTGGGAAAAAGAGTCCCAGACGATCCCAGACGGATCAAAAGCAACCAATAAACAATATCAGAATGAAGTGAATCAAGATTTAGGTTTCAACCATCCATCAATGGACCCATGAAACAACCAGCCACACTTGGAGTGGCTGAGGTCTCGCTATTTTCCCTGTTCCAGATGGCTTTCCTGAAGCGAAAGTCTAATTCCTTTAGTGTCCTGGCAGCAGCAAGAAGTTGCCAAAAGTGATGAGGTTTGCAAAGATTTACGATGTTTGGATATCTTTGGATTTCCCTACTTAGACTATCGCTTTATCACTCATGGATATTTTCGGATGTTTGATTTGGATTGATTTGGATGGTTCAGGTGTTTCAGTACGGAAGCTACCTTATTGATTTCCCAAGCGTTCACGAAACACCATTTAGGAGGATCCTGGAAGTCAGTGAATAGTTTGTCGGGTGTGTGTCCATCTCTATATTGCGCTGCTACGACCACTGACTTCGCGACCCTCCCTCTCAGGTGGTTTGATGCACACCGCGCAGCCTGGCTGCAGATTCAGGGTGGGTCGCTAAACCCATGTGGGCATTTGATGACATCTATAGGCAATTGAATATATATATATATAATATATCAAAATACAGTTTACATACATAAATACATACATACGTACGTACATACATACATACATACTTACATGTAATGTAAATGTAAGTGTGAATGTAAGTGTGAATGTAATGTAACGTAACGTAATGTAATGTCATGTCATGTCATGTCATGTCATGTATGTAAGTAAACATATTTAATTATATTTATGTATATGTGTATATGTATATGTATATATTTAATATATAAACGTATGCATACATATGTACAGATGTATATATGTATACACATGTGCGTATTTAAAGTATGCCTTGACCATCCTCAATTGTGTTCTTGGTTTCACTGGATGGTGAAACGGTGCTGGCATGCCTGCTGGCTTGATGGTAGCCAGCTAAAACACATCCTTAGTCTGGCACCCACGTAGATCATACTTGCAATGGACCTCACTGGAATCATGGTTAGTAAGGGGAATCATCCCCAAGATAGCCTTATTTCAGGTGATTGAATTAGTATTATTTACCCAGGTACTTGTAATGAGATAGGTTTGTTTCTAGTGACTAGTGGCCACTTGGAGCCCTGACCATGGCTGATGACGGATGTCTCCATGTGTCGGTGTAAACTTGTTGATTTCACACCTTTACATGTCATTACCCCATTGTGCCTTTTGGGCTTCGGCGGCAGCTAGATGCATTTGCCCAACAGCTTTATGAGAGAAAAGCATAGGAAAACATGATGGGCGAACGTGTTTGCTGTTGTCCAACATGCCACATGGTGGATCAGTTCCGTTTGCACAACAGAAACGTCCAACACCTCAGATCATCCGTATTGGCCACATATAATAATACCCTTCCCCTCAAAAACTCCCCATTTGGATCCATTTGGGAGCCCAAAAATGAAGAAATCTTGTATGATCTCTAGTATGATCTAGTACTACATCGGGGTTTATATGGGATTTAATCGAAAAATAGATAAGAAATAGCGGGCACAGGGATGGGATTACAATCCCTACTTCAGGACGGGCGCCATGCAGATTGGCATCGTGCTCTATGCCATCATCGAGGAGCATCATTGATATAGACAATTTATTGGATTTGTTCTCGGGGTACCCTATTTGTAGACAAACCCATGTACAATATCTTGTAAATACATATGTATATATATATACACATGCATATCTAGTGCAATGTAATGATGCGATGTAATGTAAAGTATTTTAATTTGATGAAAGGTAAGGTAAGGTCGGGCATGTATATGCATATATCTATTTACTTTTACATGTCACACTAGTCGTTCCGTGCCGACATTTGATATAATTATCCGTTTTATCTCCGTTTGATGTGTTCCAGTCTGTTCTTGGTGACAGCCTCGCACATGGCTTGATCCTTCCCGATTGGATAGGAGCGCTGCTTACGAGAATCACCAGGTCGGGGTTGGAAGTTTGAGAATGAAACGATGGCCGCTTGCTAGGCTGATAGGCAAAGGGCAAAGACTTCGTTTGTTACCTGTATATCTATGTCCCATATCCACTGGTTTGATTGATGGCCGATGCGTCAATGGTATCAAAGCGACTACCATTTTCCTACAAGGACATCATGTCATCGTTTGGGTTTCTTTGTTCATGACTGATTTTCTGGCATCAACGCTCGATTTGTTGTTCTTCATGTGGGTCAGTGTGAGCACATACTGTAGCTGCCGATCAGCCGCACTTTCCTGCGATCTCAGCTGAATCTTCGCTCACGGGTTTACTGCATGCTGGTTTATATAGATCAGCTTATATAGTCAAAACCCCGCTGTTTAAACGAAAGCTACACGGAGGAGCGGAAATACATGATTGTTGCCAGATTATCCATATATTAATCCTTTGATTGATCAATATTAACCGTTAACCCGTATTGATCAATATTAATCCGTATTGATCGACTTTATTCCTATCCATTTTTGAATAGGCATCAATTGCCAATATATTGCTTCTTCACCTGTCCACTTTTCCTCCCTGCACCAGGTGTCCTTTGGGCCGTCTCCACCTGGATCATTTTTATGGTGTCTCCGCGGCATCAAACATTGGGGGAAACCATCAAAAGACTGGGGAAATCAGCAGGACATCATCATTTTAAAATATTTTAAAGGGATGACATCACCATTTTAATCCATTAAGGGGTGAAACACCAGCGTATTAAGGGTCCAAAACTCTTTGAACATGGTATTCTGGTGTATTTTCAGGGAAAATGCGGATGGATTATTGGGCGAAGCCATGGTGAAAACGAGCAATTCCCCAGCAAACGTCTTGCATCACACTTTCCTGGGTAAAGGTGATTGATACGGTCATACTCTGCCAGCAATCGTAGATCGGTGAATCTCCGGTGTCATTCCATGGCTGGAGCATCGTAGCCTCAAGGTGAACAACATCACCATGTGGCCTCTGTTGAAGTACTTCCGAGGTCCTGAGGCGAGCCGTCCTGATTTGATTAACCTTTTGATGAATGGTGAGATGGTGGAGTTAAGCCAACAATGATATGGAATATTTGACCATATATAACAAAATATGCAATTATATAAATATAATATATGGAAATGCCATGGCATATCGGATATTATTGTATCAATGGGTGATTAATCATGCTTGATATAGATGTTTGTGTATATATATATACACACCGTTTGGTAATCAAACATGCCTGCTAGGAAATTCCCGAACGAAAAATGGGGATTCAAATGGGATTTTTTCATCGAAGCATTTCCGGGGATTTTCCAGCACGCCATGTTTGATTGCAACCCCAATGAATTGTTGTCAAAGGTGCTAGCTTTTGGCTCTGAGACATTGTAACCTTCAGGTATTGATATTCAGCACCTTGGGCAAGAATGGGCAAGATGGGTGGCTGGATCATGTCCCTGTGATTCCTGTTGGAACGTCAATGTGTGCTTGTTCAGTCTTGTTCATTGCTTCATTCATCCGGATTTTAGTGACACAGTCCTTCAATCACAGTCACCGTTTTCCTGAGATTTGTCGTTTGTGGTTGTTTTTTTTTAATGTGGTGTTCATTGCTCGGTGGTGACGGCACCTGATTATATGCGCGTGGAACATATTCAACAGATGTGTCCCGTACTCGTTGGTGAAATGTGTGGGTAGTTTGTATACCCAAGGGTACATGACGTACATGTATGTATACATTTGTGGGTTTGGGTCTGAGTGTGTTTGGGTTTATATTCTCAACAAACGCCTCATCCGCATGGGCATTACACAGGTGCAACGCGTGCTTTTTAAGCTGGCCTATTCCTTCATCATCTCCTTCCAGGGCATCCATGCTGTGGCCTGGGGTGCTCAAGGAGGGGTGATGGTAGGGGAATAAACCTTGCCCTGCGGTCCTTCTTGACCCACAACGACTTTTTGAGGGGAAAACAAAAGGTAGATCCCCCAGTCATTATCACTTCATCGTATTCATCACATGTCCCGATAACCCAATCCATTTTACCATGGATTTATCCCACATTCCATGGCATGTCCAGAGATTTGTCCCCCCAAATCATCATCATTTATAGATGGATTTTCCATGTTTTTCCATGGATTAATTTTGGCCCACGTGCCCAGGCCTGGTCCTATCAGTACCCATGGCTCTACTGGGTGGCCGCTTGGCCATGATGTCCCATGAAGGATTCACTGATGATCCCACAGACCTGGGCTCCTTTTAAAACAGCGGCTGTGTACCGTACTGGTTCCCATCTTTTCACGACATGTCCAGCCATGGATAGCCGGATATGTTCCAGGATTTGGATTCTCATCAGCCGGTGATATAAATGGAAAGTATTCGCACACGATGGTTGCATCCAATGGGCTAGGCCCAGCTCAGCCGAAGGATTTGATGATTCATTTGTCATACAGCCATTGATTCCGCATCCTAATTGTTTTTATCGACAAACTTCCTGGTTTGGCAAGGCAGTCATGTGAGCCATGAAAGGTTATGCCTTATTGGTTCTGGAGCGTGAAGAAACTCTTCGAAAGTGCTGCTCTCAGGGACGGCATGAAATCTTCCAGGGAGAGATGGGCCAAAGCATGTCGCATATGGATATGGTGACATTTTGCAGTGACAAACGCATGACTTTCTGAAGAAGTGTCATGCGGGCGCATTTGGACGCATGTGGTGGCCCCAGTTTATCCAAGGTGTTTGTGATTCATGTCCTGATTGATATGATCTATTGAACACTGATAGTCACATTTCGTGTAGTGACTGCAGTTCTGAGCTAAGTTGTGTACTACGAGATAGGGTCAGCATTTGAAAACCAAGCAGGCTCGGTAATAACTGAAATGTCAGATGATGGAATGTTTTGCACATCAGCTTTCAAGATCCTTCAAGTGTGAGGTCAAGCAGGCTATGATAAAACAAAACAACAGGATACAACATGTTTTTTTAAAGAGCACTATCCTTCGCCATGTTGGTTCCCTGCCTGCTTGCGTGGCTTAGTGTAGGGTAACCACGGAGAACAAAAATACAGAAGCACAACCTGAAATCTGGTAGACGTGGTGCTGTTGTTTTGACGACTGCTTCCAAAAGTTTGATATGTGCTATGCAGGACTTCTGTATGTTCAAAGTTGCAGCGCAATGGCAGTCAAATTCAGACCTATTGTACACCTGACTTCAAGTTTACAAGTGCAAATTGCCCAGACCGAACCCCAAAATTTCACTTGGGAATGCCATTACCTTTCAAAGATATTTGAGATGTGAGTCTTCTCAAGTCGCTTGCACCATGCTTTCGCATCTGCTCATCAATTGAACCCCAAAAAGGGATACTTGTAGACCCCACAAATGGATAGAAATTGCAAATGCTGATCATTTTGTGAGCTGATTGGTGCCCCATCTGTGGCTCATATCCGTACCCGTAAGTCCTTGGTCCAGTGTTGCCTCTTGCCATGAGCGGTCCTGTCCTTAACAATGCCATGCAGGCGTGACATCCGTGGCACGATCCATAGATGAACCACGTGCAATTTAACATGCCTCCCCAAAACATCCCCAAACAGCGGTTGCCCGGCTGTCTCATATCGAGCTATGCATATGATTCCACACACACATATGTATAATCATATATCATATATACGTAATTCCGAATGAAATAATTTTCCATTTTTCAAACTGAAAACGATCTAATAGGATGGGAATCAGCATTTCCATGTCCATGATGGTTCCAGGTATCATAGCACAGAAATCAAGTAAAATCGCTGAAGTAAATGTGATAGATTTCATTGGAACAAGCAACATTGTTTTTTGACAGCAACACCACGCACAAGTGCTATTTTAACAGCGAACCATCTCTGAGTTGGATCCTGCAACTCCCAACTATCCAGGAGTCAAAACGCTGGCGTTGTGGTCAGGACCAAAAGATCCAGGAAACGGGCTGCTGAAACAATGTTAAATTCCCATTGAAGCATAGACCACGCAAGACTAAGCCATACCAAAACATATTGAACTGCATTGAGCCACATTAGACCATAGCAAATCATAGACCATAGCAAATCATACCTAGACCATCCTGGAATCCTTAGCTTGCCGCTGTCCCTGCAGGCTTGCCGCAGCATGCTCCATGGCATCTTGAAAGTGCTGGGCCTCCGAAGTTCGATGGAAACGAAGCCGGTACGATGGCCCCTGGGCAAACTGGTGATTCAATGGTCTCCTTCATATAACCAGCACAAAATGGTGATTTAGTTGGAAATATAAAGCCATTCCCCCCATAAAATCGTGCTGGTTTGGGTGAATTCCATTAAAACCATCACTTGTGGGAGATGTTCAATTGCCGTGTTTGATTTCCGAAGGCTCAGGCTTGTAAAGAAAGGATCGATCTATCTATCTATATATCTATCTATCTATCTATCTATCTATCTATCTATCTATCTCTCTATCTCTCTATCTATCTCTCTATCTATCTATTTATCTCTCTATCTATCTATCTATCTATCTATCTATCTATCTATCTATCTATCTATCTATATGGTGGCCGTGTTGTTTGTAATTATTCCTATGATGCCTCCTGCCCGTAGAATGGCCGTCCGGGTAGAGCTGTTGGATGATCCTGGTGATGAATTGGCACGCAATTTTAAAGGAGAATAAACGGATGGCCATTTATTTAGGGTATTTGTTGTTTAGTTTAGTTTATTTGTTCATTTCTCTCTCCTCTCTACTGTGTTGTTTTTTCTGCTTTTTTGCCTCTCTGCTTTTCTGTTGTTTGCTTCTCTGTTGTTTTTGCTTCTCTGCTTTTCTGCTTCTCTGTTTTTTTGTTCCTCTGTTTTTGGTCTTACTTGACTTGCTTCCTTTGTTGTTCTGCTTGATTACAAGTGCTGCTACAACTACATGAAGAACAGAACCAGCAGCACAAACAACAAGAGCAGCAAATACAAAAAGAACAACGAGAACAACAAACGAAACAAGAGCAACAAGAATTGCAGGAGAAAAACGAACAACTACAACGGCAACCATGCCCCCTCCAGCTGTTTCTATTTTGTTGTTGTGTGCTTTCGTTTGTGCCCTTGTTTTGGTTTCTTTGCGTTGGTCTAAAGACCATGATGTAAATGAGCTGGTGAAAAAGTTAAGGTTTCACAATGCTTCAAACATCAACCAAAATGGAAAGCCGCCATGCAACATGGAAGGTTGAAGTTCAAAAATGCTGCAAATATCATGCAACATGAAAGGGTCTATCTTCCAATGTCGCAGATGCCATGCAAAATGAGAGGTTCTATCTCCACAATGCAGGTTGGCGTCGCAGAATGCTGAAAATATAATAGTACATACCGCACAAACTCCGTTGTTTGTTTCTCTGCTTTTTTGGCCTTGATGGTTTCGCCAGTTTTTTTCTTCTTGGCTTTGAAAAGCTTTACGGGCTTCTTGACTTCATGGCTTTGTTTGCGTTCACCTGTTCGCTGCAACCAAAGCCACAAGCGTACGGAAATCACAAGCACGGCCTACACCCAAACAAAGACCACAACATCAACAGTTGTTGGTGTTCCTCCAGCTACACCACCCCCAACAACAACCACAACAGCAACAGCAACAACAAAAGCAGCAACAACAACGACAACAACTACAACTACAACTACTTAAAACTACAACTTGCAAATAGCATGCCGATTGGAAGGTTCCAGCTCCATAATGTTGCAAATATATGCACGTAGCATGCAAAATCGAAGGTTCCAGCTCCAAAATGTTGCAACTGGCAAGCAAAATGGAAGGTTCCAGCTACGCAACTGGCAAACAAAATGGAAGGTTCCAGCTGCAAAATGCAGCAAATAGCATGCGAAAAGGAACGTTCCAACTATAAAGTGCTGCAATAGCATGGAAATGAACAAATCCAGCTCCAAAATGTTGCAAATGACATGCAAAGTGGAAGGTTCCAGCTCCCAAATGCTGCAAATAGCGTGGAAAATAGGCACGGCCAGGAATCTAAAAACAAATCCCTAAGCAACAACAAAAAAATACCTGAACAATTTCCTACCCGGAATCAACTCCGTGAACCTTGTAGATAGTGCATGCAGTTCCCCGAGCAAGTTTGAACAAGGCAACGGACAATTCCCCGTATGTGGATGATTATCTATAAAACATTCACATTTGGAGGGATTTCGAATTGCCATGTTTGCCTGCGAGAGGGTATCCAGATGCATGCCTAAACATGGCAAAGCTAGGTGCCAAGTGACTAATGGGTCTATCGCCAAGGCTTCAGCCGTTGACAATCAGCGCAGACAAGAGGAAGCATGAGGAAAAGGTGTGCTGGGGAGGGCCAGGTTTGAGTCTGACTCCGAGTGGGTTGTCTATCACAGCACATCACTATGAGATGGTCATATGATCCGAAATCATTTGTTAACAAGACACGTTCCAACAATTTGGATGGAAGATGCTGGAGGAAAACACGTTTCGGGTTTTGTACTTCCAGATGTGCCTTAAATCAATCAACGCGACACCCATAGCCTCGGCCCGGCCAGATGATGCAGGGCAGTCTCCCACACCGGGTCCTTTGGCCGCGCTTGCCATGGTGGCAGCCCAGTGGATGTTTGCCAAAGATGGTCTGTTTGAATGCTGAAATAATGACTAATGATGGGGTCTGGGGAATCATCCCCCAAGTGGCCTCAATTCAGGTTTGTGACATATTTTGATTTATCTAGAATGTTTTTTTTTTGGAGGGGGGGTGGGTTGGGGATGATGACTAATACATACTATACCCAGATGGCCCTTAAAAGGTGGGCAGGTGGACCCAGCGCAGCGGTGTGATTTCTAGACGGGTCCTGGGTCCATGGTTGAAAAGTGCATATCGCAATCTGCCATACATGGAATATCTAGGCAATCAGACTTGAGTCAAAAAAGATGTCTAAGATCGCAAGACATCTTTCCACAGATGGGTTTGAAAGAAAATAGGGCAGAGAGAACACATACAACTCCACGGTTAATCAGTGTTAGTCATTAATCTTTTCCTTGGTGAAAACAACCATGTTAGATCATTTTGGTTCATATGCAGTTTATACATATATATATATATATGGTAATATAAGTTATGAACAATGATGAACAATGGGTAACAATATTTTTTGTTAATCATCATTAATTCTGGTTAAATGTCCAGTATATAATGCATGATTTAACAGCTGGATATGCTGCTGATATGATAGATACCCTCTGGTAAACTTTCACATAACTATGGAAAATCACTATTTTTAATGGGAAATTCCACTATAAATCACCATTTTCAATAGCTATGTTAAATTACCAGAGGGTATGCACCCCCAGCTGTGAGACACCCCAGCTGCTGAATCCCTGCGATTCCAACAGGTCGTAGCTCTAGCAGCCGATTCTTGGCAGAACTCCGAGCGCCGCCAGCCTGGCCGAAGTGTGATCGGCGGGTTTTTGTCTTCGGCCGTTTGGTTCATGACGATGTTGTTTAATATGGTTTAATGATGTTATTCAGTGTTAATTTATATTGACAAATTGTTTGTTTTTTCAAAATGCTGTTCCAGTTGTGTCATTGCTTGGTGATTCTCAGGATGCGAATGAAGAAGAACTGGCTTTGAACCTCCATTGGATTGGACCAGGAGTGGCACCCTGACATTCTACTGCACCCTCCATGGTGTCACTGTTGCTGATCCAAGCTGCGTTTCACCTAAGATATCCTAAGGAGCAGTTCGCCTCACCCCAATTCCTCTTATCCAATAGCCACATAGATTATATATGATGTCATTGTTTGGTCAGTTTTGCCATTTGAAGGACAGTTGAGATGCGTATGCATGCTGTACAAAGAGGATGGCAGCCTCCTGCGAAGCATCTGGGAAGGTGCCCAACTGCCTGCAAGAGAGCATGGGTTGATCATTTAAGGTCGAAAAGAAGAACCTGATTATTTGTGATAGATAGATAGATAGATACTTATGACAGATATACACCTTAGCAAGTCCATATATCACATCATAGAATATCGTAGATAATAATACTTCAATTATATGTCACAAGAATGATTACGATATGATATGCCATGATATGCCTTTACACGTATGTAATATTAAAATACAAGAGAGAGATAGTCCATTCCTGTTGCGCACAGTTCTGATCACCATTTGAGGTGAGCCAAAGGCTCCTGGCATCCAGTACTGCAGACGGGATCCTGATTACGAGGTGTGGCTTCTGCACCTTGAGACCCTTGGTTGGGTTGGGCTTTTTTAAGCATCAAACATGGGAGGAAAACTAACAAAACCCTGCATGTTCGATGCGATGGCACAGGAGTGCTATGAATTTCACTCTTACGTCAGTTGCATCACCTTTAGCCGCTCTAGCCCTTGTGGCTATAAATTCTGACCTCCTTTCCTGGTTGTTTGATGACCCACCTCGAACAGGATGCAGGCGAGGATGAGGAGGCTCCTGGGCGCAAGGGAATTTGATCCCTAGCCTGTTCTTTAGGTTGGATGTGTAAACTGTTTAAATCTTAAATCATGAAACTCCGCCATGTTTGGGTCAATCATCCACCTTTTGGTGGTTGTATATAAATCTTAATGTTTGAAGCGTTTTTTTTTGACTCTGATTTGGCGTAGGTTCGTGGTGACATCTCCATCTTTGTCAGTTAAATGCCGTATGTTTTGGGTTGAGTCAGCCAGTGTGCATGAAATTTTGTTTTTTTGCAAATTATATATCGTATACCTAGTTGATCATTTGCAGTTGTCTGAACACGAGGCAACGAAAACCCCCATGGTTAACCATTTGTTGCCCATATGATTTTTCTGGACACCGCCATACGATCAGCACCAAGAACCTTGGGATTTACGGATGTTCATCCCTCTTTTGGTGTGTTATAAATGTCGATTTCGAAGGCCCCAAGTGACTATTCCATGTCAGCCAGTTTTGGGTTGTTTAAAAATCATGTCAAAACCATACAATCAGAATTTGTGATGCTGAAAATTGTATCGAATTACCAGGCCCCACCAGGCCCCATGTTTGGGTCGCCGAGCTTCCACTGGGAGCATCTCGGAGCCAGGTCAGTGAGCTGCTGAAAGGCGACGCGCTGCTGCTGCGTTTGCAGAAACTGCCTGCAGAGGTCTTCGCGCTGAGCGTCGCGATGGTGCGCCGCGGTTGTGGGTGGAAGAAATTCCCAGTTGATAGGTGGTTTGTACATAGTTTGTACAATGATTGATGAGGGTTCAACCATCCAAGGCTTTCTTCCAAGCACAGTCTGTTGGAGATTGAGTTTAGGAGACTTTACGCATTTTGCCATGGAAGAATTGGATTGAACGATGTAAAGTTAGGCCATGGTGGGATTTGAGAAGGGAGACAATGGAGTTGGAAGCGACAAGAAAGCTTACTCTCCCCTCTCCCAAAAAAACAAATATATGTAATTATATATAATATACATATATATTTATACACTTTATCATATTTTATCACAGTAAGCTGGAAGTGTCACATGGACATCAATGCTTTGGAGGACTCCCATTAAGGTGAGCGTCCATTGCCATTTGTTGTTTTGGCAATTGGGTGCAACGACCCAAATTATCAATTGGTAAAGTATTCCCATGCATCCCTTCCCCACGAAATAGCCAAGCTGAAAACCTTTTTTTAGTGCTGGATCTATTCGGGGGTCAAGTCCTTTTGTTTTGAAAATATTAGGGGATAGGATAGATTTGATATACGCATAAATATAACATTATCATGGATTTGCTGAAGACGATTTTCCACTCCGAACCGGAAATCCACTAGACTTGGGGAGAATATGTTTCATTTTTTGGGGGGTCCTTAAGCAAATCCAAGTTATATAAGAGTAACATCCTCCAAGAAATTGTTGATTTTCCTGGGGGTCACTAGATGTCACTACAGTATTTGTTTCATGTTCATAGGTGTATATATATATTTAGAGGAAAAACATATGTATACAACGTCATCTCCCTTTGAATATTTGTTGGTTAGTCCCCACGTGTTTCATTGGACCCACAGGTTGCGACAGAGGTCTCTATGCCTTGGGCTTCAAAGGAGGTGATGGGGAAGTGCCAGGACGGAAAGCGCTGGGACTTTGAGAAGGGCTGCCGCAAGCAACAACGATGGGATGTCGGAGTTGCCCAACCAAAATTGGGATTTATATAACATATATAACCATCAAATTTAACGATTCAAATTGAAGAGCTACCCAGCAGAAGCTTAAATGGTGGTTTAAACATCAATAGAGGGGTAAACATCAACTACGGGGATTCCACCAGATATGATCAGCGCAACGCGGCGTTGCGGCTCAACCTATGGGTAAATGGGTTGGCCACGATTGGGCAGAAAAGGTTGATGGGTTTATCTCTTTAACTGAAGATGGAAACAGGAGGAGGGTACCCCAAGTCCATACGATCATTGGAGCCATGTTTTTTTTTCCTCCAGAAATGTTCCATATGCTGTAGTTTGATGTGTTCATGGTTGTCTAGTAAAGAATATGTCTTTACCTAGTTTGAGATGTCCGAGAAGAAGCAATTAGTATGTCCTGCATTCGGAGATGCGGACCCCTTGGACGCTCTGGTTCAATGGTGGAGCAAAATCCTTTGCTTGGTCAATGTTTAGCCTAAATGGTGAAATTTGGTTACATATCATGCCCAGTCAAAACATGCCAGTCAACCACAAGTACAGAAACCAGTGGTAGATAGTGATATAGTATAGTGGTTGTTTCGATGCCATGGGTGCTGCCCTTTAGAATATCAGATTGGAAGGTCCAGGTCGTAGTTTGGGGGACTCATGGATGATTCTTTTCCTACGGAGCGGGATGATGATTTCCAAGCTAGCCATGACAGATGACTGAAGACAGGGAGTTTGTAAATCCCACTAACCAGTTCGATAGATCTACCATCGAACGTTGGGTCACGGCCAGTCTGGAGGGATTGGTTCATAGCCATTGGTGTCAGGAGTTTGTTGAGGTTGTTGGTTAAAAAAATCCCACTTTTTATCCATTTTTGGGTACCCTCTGGTGAACTAACATAGCAATGGAAAATCACCATTTTTCATGGGAAAATCCACTATAAATGGCCATTTTCCATTGCTATGTTAGTTCACCAGAGGGTAAGCCAAGTCACAGATCCATCACAGCAGCCAAGTCACGATCTGTTCCCAGGAGCTGGCCCTGACTTTGTCGCTGAAGCGCCAGCGCCTCTGGAAATATCGACAGCCACGGCCTGGATACAGCGGCGCAGCTGAAATGGTGAAGTATTTACCCCCTGTAAAAGTAACATAACTATTGAAAATGGCCATAGAAATAGTTGATTTACCCATTAATAGCATGGTGATAATTGTATATAATTGTAATAGTTATGTTAAATTCCCAGAGGGTAACCAAAATGACTAAGGACATCCCCTTTTTTGGGCAGCTAAATCACTAGTATGATTTGTATGCAACTGGTATTTATGATAAATTACGCAGAGAGATAGCTAAGATTACCACCCAATTCCCAGGTATGAAATGATTTTCTGATTGTCAATGACTCAATAAGCAGCAACTAGAATTACCACTGAATTAGCAGGTACTGGACCGCTGTAATTGCAAATCAATTTCTGGAGAATTACATGCCAGTAACTTCCAGTGATTTTTCCCAGTCACCTGATGATGGCTTCTGATGGTTAAAACCATGAAGGCCAGAATGTGGTCATCAAGACATGTCCCAGGCCATTCTCATGGTGTTGCTTGTATGATAGTGGGCGATTCAATTGGGAGAATCAGAATGTTAAAATTTCAAAGATACGGCTGTGAAGCGAAAAGTGTCAGACCTATCGCATAGATTTATGTCCAACTTGTTGGCAGATGTTGGCAGCGTCTGTCAATAAGCCACGTCCTCAAAATGCAGTTGTTTTTTGTTGCTTCCCCCTTGAAGCTCAATTGATTCCAGCTTCCAGTCAACTTCTCTCCAGGGCCCGCAGTGTTCCTACATATCCAACATATCCAACATGTATACGAAGTATCCAACTCAGCTCTAGTTACTCCAGTTTCCATCCAAAATCATTTGAATATATTGTAAAACCATGTAAAACCTACCATGACTGGGGATGCTAAACATACCACCCATGTTCACATGGTGATGACTTGGGGAACGTTTATTCTTGGCTTTTCCACATGATCGTCATTGAGGCGATGTCTACGAAGTGAACGTCCAGTGCAGCTGCTGCCTCTATCGCGGTCCACGGAACACCTGGCGATTGGAACCCATGAATATGCCGCTGAACCTTGGAACCCATGATGGGCTGCAGGGGCCCAAGCCTGGGAGGTTTCAGACATGTCAGACGGGTTTATCTGAAAATCATGGGACTAGTGACTACCCAACCACTCAAATAGGTAAATTAAGAATAGGGAAAATGGCGGTTCAAGCATCAATTTTTTGGGCACCCTGATATTAAGAGGCCCACCTCGTCTGTCGGCCCTTTACACTCACACTGGTTGATAGGCTGTCGCAGTTCATGGGTCACAAGATTTTGCAGTAAACCGAGTGGTTTACCCTCTGACAGTCTGGTAATTTAACATAGCTATTGAAAATTGCCATTTATAGTGAGTTGTCCCATGGAAAAATGGTGATTTTCCATAGTTACGTTAGTTTACCAGAGGGTAACCTGCTGTTACAACTAATCAACAAGGAATTTGGTCACTGCCCTGTGAAGCCACCAGCTTTACTCTTATGCCATCCGGTTCAAGGGGCTTCAGAAAGATCTGCGCGATGGGCTGCCATGGTCAAGTTATATTGGATTGATGTGGTTTGGTCATCCATCGTCCATCCCAAAGTTGGAATCCTTGTCATGGATACCCTCCTGCTCAGTGACATAGATGTGGATATCCCATGATATCCCACCATTTATGGATCATTTCGCCGGGAAATCATGGTTTTTGCACATCAATGTTGGTTTACCTGCGGGCATTATAATCCCTATGAATCATTCGGAGATGATCATCTCCCACTGGTCAAGTGTGGTCAAGTTACTTAATTTTTGACCATGGCACATGGCAATGCACATATGATGTTCAGCGATGTTCAATGAAATAACTGGGACGCCTCAATTGTCGATGGGAACATCCAGGGATCAGAAGATGGATCAAAAGTATTCAAAAGTACGGTATGGCCGATCTTCATGCTTACAAGATGGAAATATCTAGCTGGCTTGTTTTTCCCTATCGGCCAAAGTAAGGTCGAATTTTAAATCTATTGCAGTACTAGTAGTTATGTTTTTTTCTTGTGGGCGTGGTGGTGTAGCCGCCACAGGCCACTATGTCGTAAAGAAAAGTTACCAACAGTCGGCCACCCCCTTCGGATCAAGGTACATGTTTCCAGAAACAGCGAAAATCCATGAAAATCCAATCAATCTATTCTATCAACAAAATTTCTGGCTTCCGATTAGAGGCCATATTGTTTCCATGTATTTCCATTACGTTTAGATTCTAGCATATATGCTCCATAGTTTCAACATGTTTCGACATGTCATGAGCAATCGATCCCGGAATCGATTTTGGAACATCTGCAGGAATTTCTGGAATTCCTGGCTGCAATAGCCATGCTGCAAACGTTCCCTTAAACCATCAATTCAACAGTCTTCCACTTTCTAAGACCTTCCATCCCCCCACTTTCCGATGGCCGCCCAGGATGTTGTTGCATTTGAACAAGGTGCCACTGTCCAGTCTATCCTCTTGAGAGGTAATGAACCAAACAAAATGTATATGATATACCATAAGATGATATGGAACCCAAAAGAAAAGTCGGATTTGCAGCATGTTTTTGTTGGGTTATTCTTGTTTGTTTGGACTTTGGGAAATGCAGTTCTTGAGGCGTCCATGATCCATGTCAAATTTTGGAAACACTGCCGCGCCGTGTGGCTTTGTGTCGACAATGCCAGGTGGAGGTGCCATCTGCCTTTGCCGTTTCGGAGATTGCCAGACACATCACCTTGAAGATTGGATGGATGATCCAGGAAGGGATGGCTGGAAGAAGCCGAATTGTGATGTACTGGATGACCTTAGTATATGTTAGTTGCTCGGATGAAGATCGAAAAATCCCAGTTGTTCATTTGCTAGCGCGTAGGTAGGTGTGCACATTACGTGCACATCTTGCACATCAAAAATGTGCACACAGGGGGGTTCTAATTGTTTGGGGGTCCCGGTAGGACCTCCCTAAAATGTTATACACGTATATTCCTGTATCCTCTTTCGTCGCTTAAATTTAAGTCCAATGGCTATTCGAGCATTTGTGCAAAAAACGTACCTGAATTGAACCTCAGTGGCTTGGATGTTGATTCGAGCCTTTTGAGCTCTGGGAGTGGTGTGGTTTGCACATCATCCCCTGCCTTTCTCCTGGGGTGCCCCTTGGATCACCTGTGTTGTGTCTTTGTGATTGTTTGTGTTGGGATTCCTTGGAGCCAGCAAGCTCGTAGTCGCAAAATTAGTATTTTTTGTTTTTTCGTACTTTTTTTGATTGTGGCATGTACCTTGCCAGCTGGGAAATTGCAAAATGCGCGGAAACATGCGCAAAACGCGCGCAAATATGCGCAAAATTGATCAAGATTGCGCAAACAAACGCAAATTTTAAAAAGGTAAGTTTACGAAATGGGGTCCAAGCATGTCCAAGCATAATTCCGAAAACCGTCCTTTTTTCCAATTCGGTCCTCCGAAGTTCCGAAATGTTGTTGGTTCACGCCCCAAAACACCTCAGACTTCGTAAATGGCTGTTCATCTTACTGGTGATAAGGTGTTGGGATGGAGGACACCTAATTAATTCTCAAGTGAACAAGACAAATTGATTTGCCACGAACGTTTTTTTTCAGAAACGTCCTGATTTTGCTGGCATGGGCCCTATACCCCAAATTCGCACCTTTTTTGCGTACTTTCCTCTCGTGCAGAAATTTAGGTATCAATGGGAGAACCAGGTTTATTTACAATATTTACATATATTTACATGGTTTTCCCCATTCAGCTCACTAATTAATTGGCTTAATCTATATGGTCGTTTACATATCCCTAGTTCCACTTTATCAATGTCCCCGATAGCTGGAGTCGCTCCCTTTTGTATGGAAGCCTTGTGAGACGATGCGGACAAGCGCCCAGCTATTGACTTCAGGGAACATCAAAATGGTTTCATGTTAAGCGGGGAAATTACCCAATAATTGCAGTGCATGATAAATAGATGCCCATTTTTGATCACGGCGTTACGAATCCTCCGATAATCAGCCCCCATGTCGATTTTCGTATTAAAACCATTTAAAACCTCCATTGATGCATAAATGTCCCATTAAAACTGGCATATCGATGGTTGATTTCCTCATTAAACAATGAATCATTGATGGAGGATTCTCCCAAGTAAAACGGTCAAAACTGTGCATGATTTTCCTTCAAAACCTCCATATTTCTTGGATGGTTTGATGAATTCCCACCGACCGGGTCGACGCATCCACGGTAGGAGCGACGTTGGAGCACCTGTACAGAGGAGAGGGGAGACTTGGACATGACTTGAGTCTCAGGGATTGACGATCTTAGGTTGCTGTACCCTCTGGTAAACAGCCACATAACTATGGAAAGATCCACCATTTTCAATGGGTAAATCCACTATAAATGGTCATTTTCAATAGCTATATATTTGTTTACCAGAGGGTAATAGATGTTAATCGACATATAAACATATAAATTGATATTATTGATGTTGCAATTCATGTCGTAGACAAACGTTTGAATTGGTGTCTTAATTGATGTCAACTGTTGAGTAACCATTAGAAAGACTAATTTTTACATACAGTAGTATGAAATTGCCTTGGCATGTGTGTGTGTATATGCATCGCAACATGATGGAAGTCTTGTGAAGTAGCAAAGAGAAGGAGAAACAGCAACAGAATTAACCAACATACGGATATGATGTAACCAACGACCAATGAGATCCAATGAGATGGCAACTAACAGAAATGTGGAAATCGAACAAAATGGGAGCATTTGTTTAGGTTCAGAAACCAAAGGAGCTAAAAGACAAGAAACATCCAGAAACAATAGTAAATGTGATTAAATGTGGATATAGCCATCACATGCCATCACTATAGGCAGCCCAGAAAGGTAAGCAGCTATATTGGGGTATGAGCAGCTGAAATGTTAGCAACAGAACAAAGGAATTGGTCAACTTCATCTTGAATGTCCACAACACCCACTACTCGGGTAAAACCATGGGTGACTGATTGATGGAGCCTCTTAAAGAATTTACCCTGACATGAGTGTACTCCTGTGAAAGGCTCGGGTGGAACCACAATTACATAATGTGGTTTGGGAAGATGGCTTGTATTTTGATGTTCATGTTGAGCTTAGGATTGTTTTTTGTGGGTTCATCATGGCATATCATGGCAGTCCTGCTGCATCAGAAAGATCCCTGGGGAGACTGCTGGTTGCAGCAAACTCCCCAGCACTGAGGTCTTCGTGTTTCGGGCTGAGGACAGCTGGCTTTGTCTGGAATCTTCAACCAGCTTTGTGCTTAATTTTCTTGCCAAGCAAACCCCTTTCGTTTTGTGTTGCTTCCTTTTTGCGCCCCCCACAAGCGTTTTTTAAGATTCCAGTGGCTGCATTGGTAAAGCGTCCTCAAAGGCGAATTCATTAGAGAATTTTTGCAGCCACCACCCGAGTGAGCTGCACGTGAACTCAGCATTTGAACTGCAGGCTGCAATGAATTCTTGGAGAAAGCAGGGGCATTGGGATGGCAGAGCTGGCAAATTCCAGCCGAGCATAGCTGTTCTTGGTATTGGTTTGATTCTATTCGCATCTATTCGCACTATATTTTGTTGATGGACAAAATTCGATTTGAAATGCAAAGAAGGATCGACAATAGTCAAGCCGTTGGAGCCTGAATATGTCCAAGTATTCACACGTGTTTTTGTGTTTTCGTGGCACATCGAATTGATTAACGTTTGTGTTTCTGTTGCTGTGCCGTGCTTATTTTTCCTTGGGCCCGAACGTTGTTGCTTCTCTAACCCCTACTTTGTATGTCGACATGTTCTGAGTCCAAGTCAGCATCCATCGAGGACCCGTTTTTCCCCAAGGTTCTGACAACATCTTGGCGTTGGTGCCGGAGGGTAGCGTGCCTAGTGCGTGAGAGAGCTCAGTGCTGCGCAGTGCTGGGTTAGAATCAGAACATGTTAGAACAGATCCCGGGAAATAGGAGGGGTCATGTTTTTTTCACAAAACCATTTTCAATCATTTTCATATGTATGTATATATTACCCTCTGGTTATTTAACATAGCCATGGAAAATGGCCCATTTATAGATGGTTTACCTGGGTTTACCTATTAAAAATTGTTAATTATTTTCTATGGCTATGTTAAATAACCAGAGGGTATATGTTTTTAATTTAATTTTATTTATATAATTATAAATTATACATATATATATATAATTATACAATATATTGTAGAAAAGTTTGAGGTGTGATGCAACTGTGCTGCTTCAGATGTGGCTAGATATGGTTAGGGGATGTTACAGGTCCATATTGGTCATCTGCAGACAATGATTAACCAGTGGATTTAGGCAAGCTACGCTATTGACAGACACAGCCAGATGACATAATGAGGAATAATGGGCCTGGGGTACCCCCCAGCAATCAAATCGTAGTCAAACATAGCAATGGAACGTATCAGCCATGTAGTTCGATGATGTTACCAGCCATAAACTTCTGTTTATATGGGTTTTCCTTGATTTTCCCATGATTTTCCCATGATTTTCCCACATTTCCAATTTTTTATGTGGGATCTTCGTCAAAATGTCCATGGTTGATGGTGAATCTTCCCTTGCTAAGCCACCATTTCCGGGACAGGATCAACCGGAGCCAAGGATCCAGGAATCTGCCAAGCGAAGAGCGCAGCGCTTAGCGCCCCAATTCTTGTGAAATGGTCAAGTCTATCTTTAGTGGGGTTGCGATATTATTATTATTATTATTTTATTATTATTATTATTGTTAATATATATATATATAATACATATGTATTATATGTGTATATAATTAAATATAGTATAATATATATATATGTATATAGGTTATTGCTTATTTATATTTATATATATATACACATGTCACACACATTCACACACACATATATATATATACAATGTTATATTTAATTTACTATAATAGACATGTTGTATAGATTTGGTTTTCACAAGGGAATATTTGGTCAACCATCCCATTTTGGGTGTGGATGAGACCCCGCAAAAGACCGAATGGTTCAGTACTCAGCATGACCAATTTTGTGCGCTAATTCTGGGAGTATTTCACTATTGTATATAGACTTGAGATGATCTTTGAGTTTTGAATATCATATGGAACGTTGTGGAAATGTGTGGAAATGTCAAATCATTCCAGTAAATTAAGTCTACTCTTTTGGGCAAGTTTGAAGGATCAATATTTCATGTCAGGTCAGGATTTTCCAACTGGTGGTTTCAAAGAGTTATTTCAAACCCCATTTGGTAAATGGCTTATACCCCTAGTATATGGAATATCCCTACTTAGATATGGCTTATATATAGTTTATAAACCACTTAAGTGGGATGCACAGCCAAGTATTCCTCAGGGGGTGCTGAGCTGTTATGAGTTGCGTCATGGCCGTGATGGCGTGACTGGTCTCAGGTGAAGGGCATTCAGAACGACACACCCACTGTTTGGGCCCAACATGGGGGAACAGCTTGAAGAGATGGGACGTTCTGGCAACCGAGGCCAAACTTGTTTGAATAATATATATATATATGATATATATATATATACTTTCAATATATCCTTTGACCATCTTTGACCAAAAAATGCTGGGTGTTTGGAATTGTTTGGACCTGATTTGGAACCCGGATGTTCAGCAGCCCGAACAAGCGAGACTTGGAGTCTTTGAGAGTCTCACCAAAGACATTCCCGGGGATACAGCGGGAAGTAAACAACAGACCAGCAATTCCTTGGCTGATTGAGCTGCAACTCCATATAGGAAACCTGTGGTGTGCACGATGAAGATGTCGGTGTGTTGCAACTCCCTGAAATAAATTCTTGGAGGGCAAGGTTCGCCCATGCAGTTGGACGGGTCAAAGTTCAAAGACTGAAAATCACAGAGATCCTGCATCGCCGTCAGTGGGTCTACTCCATCCTCAACTTCGGTGGCGCCGTCTTTGACAACCTCTACATGGCAAGAAACTCAGGAAACACATGGAAACACTCCGGAAACACCCAGCAAATGGTAGACCTGGTAGGAATTAGTTTGATCCATTGATCCGTTTGCACTATCCCACTGAGGATACGTCTCTCAGTAGGTATCTTCCGTACTAGCTGTGAAAAAAGGGGGGTCGTAACTTAACTTTCCAGCCAGTAGCCCGGTGGCCCTTCAGTTCGTGCATGCAACATGGCCAAAAACCTTTCATTGTGCCTGGCAATTGCGACATTTTTTTGATTTTGTTGTGACAAAAAACATTGCATTTTTTGGGGGGCTGCTTCCTAAGACAATAGACTTTCTTTCTGGAATGTTCAAAAGTCAGTGCTAACCTTTCAGGTTTTCTAGTCGGACTCCATGGTCATTTTTCATCATGTTTCTACGTGTTTAGATTTAGGATCACCAGTTTTGGATACTTTGTCATGTTATGCTAAATCTTCAATAATGTGGGTAAACAATAATAATAATAATAAACCATCCCCCAAATCACCATACATAGGTGGTACAAGCAATTCGGGAATGGTTCGGTTCTTATTGTTTAACCCATATTATTGGATACTCCACCTATGAGGCTGTCTACACCTGGCGTGGGCCATCAGGCTTCTGGGGCTGGCAGGGTGCCTCAGAGCCTAGCCATTTCGTATCAGGAGATGGGGAAGTGGAGATCCCGCAAAACTCCAACCGTCAAACATTGGGATTTAATCATCAAACACATTGGGATTTAATCATCAAGATTTCCGATTCAAGCATCAAAGAATTGGGGTAATCATCAAACATTGGGAAGTTAACCATCAAAACATATGGTTTAAGCAGCACAAATTGGGGTTTAAGACTCAACCTTTTGGGGATTTACTTGTTGAAAACAAGCCTTGCAGCATCAACAAATGGGGATTTGCACTGTGGAATGAATCATCATCAATGAGGATATGCGGACATATAACAAGATATGACAAGTCTACAAGACACAAACTATTTGGCTATTTGAAGATGTGTCATGAATTTCCCATTGTTTTCCATAGGTTTTCCCATTGTTTTCCTATGTTTTTCCATGGTTTTCCTATGTTTTCCCAGGGTTTTCCTATGATTTCCATACATGAACGGGGGATGAGTGTCCGTTCAACTCGAGCCATCCGAGCCATCCGAGCATCGCGCTGCCTGCCTTGAGGTCCGCCGCCAACATCACCGGGGTGAACGACCACCTTCGTACAGGGTACCGCCAGAAGCATGGTGAAACATACGTACAGTAATGTTAATAATGTCAACCCCGGATTAATAAACCATGATTTATTAATTAAAGGGGTACCCCTCCAATTGTCATAATCTAATACTTCAATGGTACCCTCCCAATTAAACAGCCTAGGGGTTTATTAATCCAGGGTTGACATTAATCTATTATTAATATATAATTACAACATTACTGTAATGAAACCATTTACACTAATGATACCATATATTATACATAGTGTAATAGACATTATTATCAATAATATGACTGTCATGGTGAGACTTGTTTGCAATGTCTATTATATGTTAATGTTAATGTTTATTGTATATAATGGTAATAATATGTAATTATTTATTAACATGATATATTGTTATATGTTAATATATATATATATGTATATGTGATATGTTTTTTTTTAAATATATATTTGTATGTTGATGTCTACTACACTATATATATATATTACAATTATGTATGTATGAATTATATTTTTCTGTTTTCATGTATGATGAGAAGGTTTATTACCTAGGGGATTCTCCATGGTCCTTCACAATGGCGCTGTTTTTCATAGGCCTTAAGGGACCTTGGGACTATGAAGAGGTTTCATTGCTGCCGTTGGCGCGTAGTTAATTATAGTTCTTTAAATATATGGGCGGTATACGATATACGTATTGAATTGTCCATCTATATAGGACATATCATACAACTTTTGATATACATATGGGATCATATGGGCACATTACAGACATACTATACATAATATATATATATATGTATATATGTATATGTATAATATATGTATAATATATGTATAGCATATGTAGCATATGCAGTAGCCCTGGTATTTTTACGTCCCCACAACATCCCACGACAACGGACCGTCCACGGCAACGGAGCCGCCAGGCTTGTGAAGCCCTGCTTCGGGTCGCTGACCATCTCGGCAGCTCGGAATGGGAAATCCATGGAAATCCCTATTGATGATACTTGTTACTTGTGTGTATCTGTAACATATTACATATGTATATATTTATGTTTATAATATATATATATATATCATGAATATAATGAATGACATGTACTCTATTGTAACATAATATTCATGTATAAATGTATATCATACAGTTATGTGTGTGTGCGCCTCCAAAAGGCTATGGTTTATTGTAAGTTTATCAGATGTTCCATGATTGAACGTGACAAAGCATGAAAAAACACACACATACAAAAAAAAATACTGGACATAATACAGGATGCAAACTGATTCACGGATTCCATGGTTGAAAA